ATCATCTTTTTTGTATCTTTTTAGTAATTTTTACCACTTTATTAAGAAAATGAAATAACATGTTTTTTAGATCATAAAGTTAAAGAGTATACATGCAGGAAAACCAACACCTATCATCGTAGGCGATTAGGTCGTCGATAGAACGGTTCCGATACAGGATAATAGGTTCGATAACGGACCCAGTAAATTATTGTTAGGTGGGATCGTAGCGTCGAAACGCCAGGCACCGGCTTCCATATCGCTGTTCCGGATCGATACGCCGCGTTTGGCCCTCGGGCAACACTTTACAATCTGTTTTCGACAATGATTAACTAATAGAGGCGACTAAACTGCTGCCGCGATCCTCGTTTAATTAGTCCCGCAGCGCCGCCTTCGCGACCTCCAGACAAATCAATTTCTAACAGTACTCAATTCCTTCTTGTTACTACTTACTTAATATTTTACTGTTTTACATAAACATTTCAACTTGTTTATGTAAACCGTAAAATAATCATTTCATAAATTAATACGCTTTTTCTTTAATTTAATTTTCTTTTAAATGAAGCGATTAAATTTAAATCCTTTTTTTAACACTTGCAATGTATATAAGGAATGTTGTGGGACATTCACTAGAAAGGGAACCTCATATACACTTAATAGATTCTGTGTTAACTGTTCAAGTATTCATGTATAAATCAAGAATATTAGCGCCATCTTTTAATAAGCGGAAAAATTAAAATAATCGTTGAGCTTTTAGTTAAAGAAACGAGCCAACTGGTGCCACCTATAAAGTAAAAGCCGCATTAATTTTTAAAAAATTTTTATTTAATTTTTTTAAATTAATTTTTTTAATTTTAATGAGAAGAAAAAATAAAAGATTTGTTATTAAATAGTAAGCTTTATTTTTCGTTAATCTCAGAGCATTTTTCTATATATATATATAATATATTTGACAAATCTATTTATTTTTCAACTTTCCAATTATACAATTCAAGTTTAAGACACAGTGTAGTTTTCCTTTTTTTATAATTCTGTTTAATAATTCATTTTCGTTCAAAAATTACGCCCTATTGTATAATATCGTTTTTTTTTTGTTCTTTTTATAAATAGTTTTGTTGCTCCGCATTTGTTCGTGTACATTTCCCGAAGGTACAAAAAGCCCTCATCTTTTTTTTTAATTTTTAGAATAATAAACTCTCGTTTTCAACAACAAGTAAATAGAGTTCAACCGTCAATCTTGTTATCTGTACTCGCCAACAAGTTAAAATAGAAAAACTTAATGAGATATGCAAGCTATGTGAAGTAGTTTTTTCATTAGTTTTTTATTATAATCGGCTCTCCGTCCCTTTGATACATTTTTCGTCATAAGATCACTTCGAAAAGCTGTAATATAGACCGTTTCGAAAAAATAGGTTTACCCTAAGTCCTTAAATAGTATTGCTTATTTACAAGATTAACAGCCGCCTTAAACAACGCTTAAAGCTTTTAGGTAATTTTTTTTAAAATTTTTTTCGTTTTAGGAATAAAGTTTAAATATAAAAAAAGTGAATCTAGAGGAGAGTGTACTGTGACATACTTACAAAGGGAATAGTTTTGATGAATCGTTAAAGTGACGACGGAGAAGGCTTCCATTGTTAGATTTCTTTTTGGAAGCTTGCTAACTTTCAATTAATTTAAACCAAAAACGATAATTGACGTTATTTCAGCACAATAATAAGATTTATTTATAGAGATTATTAAAAAACGCGTTTAATAAGACAAGAATCGTCAGACTTTTACTCTAATTGGTGCCTTCTTTGAATGCTTATTGTTTTGAATATTCGTTGACTTGATGCAAGAATAGGAATAAATTATCTCGTTTTATAATAATCTCTATAAACCCTGATTATTTTTTTTAAGGAATATTGCGATTTCTTTTCAGTTTTAACCGATGCTTATTTACAGATTCATGTGGTTTTATTTTTTTCATTTTTACTTTAACACACAAATTTATATATACAGGGTGTCCCGTTAAGCGTACGGAGCGGCTGTATCTCTAGAACGGTAAGGCCTAGAGGTTTGGGAAAAAAATCCTTATAAGTAAAGTGACTAAGAGAAATAGCTGGAAATTATTTTGAAGTTCGTAATTCGACCGCTAGGGGGCGTAACTGCCATTGAGAAACATAAAGTTTCCGCTATCTCAGAAACTTAGACGATGAGCTATAACTTTGACAACATCATTTAATAGCTTGGATAATACCGCATCGCTTTTGTTTTGCGATATTTCTCATATCTGTCATAATAAGGGAGGGGGAGGCCAATGCGTTTTCATATGTTTACATTTTAATATCTCCTAGACCATTCAAACGATTTGAATGTTTTCGGTGTTGTTTGAAAGAGCATTTTATACTCTTTTTAAAGATATTTTCAGTAAGACCGTCTGCTTTAAAACAAATGAGCTAGAGGACGTTATCTGCAGCGATTACATATTTTTGTGATTTTTGAAGAAAAGTTAAATGGAACGATACTATTTACTTCACAGACCCTTAGTCACCTTAAAATTTGCTAAATTTTAGTGAAAACCGCATCTCGATATCGCCACCCGTTCTCGAGTTATAGAAGAAAATGTTAAAAACTCGAGTGCCATCAATCCGATCCAGTTACCTCATCGAGAAAAACAAATCACATAACCATGGTAACTGTAAACATGTCATTTACTAACGCAGAAGCGTATGATAGAGCGTATGATGATTTATTTTCAACTGCATGGCAAAAATGTGCAATGCAATTACGACAAAGAAAGAAATTTTTCTCCAGAAGTGTTTTTAAGATTGACTTAGCGATTACGGAAAACTGGCAACGTGTAGCCCATTCAGACATCTCTATGAATTCGTAAATCATATTGGTGCGCAATGTGATCCCACATAATCTGGGAACTCCGAAAACAATTGTCCACAAGAGTTCTCAAGAGAATAATATCTCCACCACGTTGTTTTACATCAGGCCTTAACAGATACCGATTATGATAACAGACTGAACTATTACCATTGACTTTTAAATATGATTTGGGCAAATCCAATCCTTTTATCACAAATGCTATGGATGCATGAAGCATCTGTCCACAAGCTGATGTAAACTTGCATAATATGCATTCTTGGTTCGAGCAAAACCCACATTGCTTTCACCTCTTTATCTATTGGGTAGACTAAACGACCTGACTTTTCAAGAAAAACCAATAACCAGGAAAAATATGACAAAACACTAAATACCAGTAAAAACGTGTCCAGGGCCGAGACTTAAACAGCGCTTTTTTTTCGTCGAAACTAGATTAAATAAATGCATCGAGGTTTATGGAAGGCATTTCGCTCATTAGTGAGTTATTTTTGCCAAAAATTTAAGTTATTCTAAGTGTTTTGGTTTATTTTGTTTTATTATCATTGTTGATGTTTCATTGATCCGTTGGCTTTTCAACACGCCTCAAAAGTAGTTTTGAAGCAGTTCTATGCTTGGATAAAGTGTGAAGGAAGGTTCTAGATAATAAAATTTTTGTTCTCTCTTATTTGTTTCCTAAGGTAACTTGATCTGACTAAGATATACGAATTTTTAACATTTTCTTTTATAATTCGAGAATGGATGGAGATATGGAGATGCGGTTTTCACTAATATTTAGCAAATTTTATGACAATTAACGGTCTGTGAAGTAAATAGTACCGTTCCATTTAACTTTTTTTCAAAAATCACAAAAATATGTAACCGCTGCAGATAACGCCCTCTAACTTTTTTGTTTTAAACCAAGCGGTCTTACTGAAAATATCTTTTAAAAGAGCATGAAATGCTCTTTCAAACAAGACCAAAAATATTCAAATCGGTTGAATGGTCCAGGAGATATTAAAATGTAAACATTTGAAAATGCATTGGCCTCCCCCTCCCTTATTATGACAGATATGAGAAATATCGCAAAACAAAAGCGATGCGGTATTATCCAAGCTACTAAATGATGTTGTCAACGTTATAGCTTATCGTCTAACTTTCTGAGATAGCGGGAATTTTATGTTTCTCTATGGCAGTTACGCCCCCTAGCGGTCGAATTACGAACTTCAAAATAATTTCCAGCTATTTCTCTTGCCCACTTTGCTTATAAGGATTTTTTTCCCAAACCTCTAGGCCTTACCGTTGTTGAGATACAACCGCTCCGTACGCTTAACGGGACACCCTGTATATTAAGATATCGTAAGAAATTGATTTTTGAAAACGAAGGTAATTGTTAAAGTTAGAATCTTACCGAAAATGCTTCAAAGTATTTTAAGTGTTTGAAAAATATTATGACTCTAATTGCAAGTAGAATATCTCAAGATCGAAACGATGTACGAAAAAATCTTATTCTTATTTTTCGAATCAGTTAATTTTCCTTTATCAATGCTTATTTATAAGATATGGATTTTTTGAGTTAAAACGTATGTTGTATTTGGTTAAACTCAATTTTAAAACTAGAATCATTTATTTTCTGTATGTTTAAGATCATTTTCTTAGAAAACAATAAATTTAAAATCGAAAATAAAGAATAAATTTTTTTCAATTTCTCTTTAATTCTTGAGATATTTCCAATTAAATTCAAATTTGACAGAACGACGTTTTTAACAATCAATTCTTTATAGGCGAATATCTCAAGAATGAAACGATATAAGAAAAAAGTTTATTCTTCTTTTTCGACTTAAAATTCATTTTTCTGTGCGAATCAATTAAAAATTTTCCTGTATCACCATTTATTTATAAGTTACGGATGATTTTGACAATAAAAATTTTTGTCATTATATTGTACTTAAAATACTTTTGTGAATCTAAATCTCTATTCACTCTAAATCTTGAAAAAAATTTATATTCAAAGATTAATCGCCAGATATTATCGAAATAGCCCTCTTTCATTAAAAAGCTAATAATTTTTTTATAATTCATGAAAATTTCATAACGATACCTAACGAAATAAATTTTTTACGACCCTTTAAAAATAAATCTAATAAATTGCTAACATTAAAAAGTGCTAAATAAATTTGTTTGGTTTAAATTTTGTGTGTTAAAGGGTTATAAATTTTACTTATTACATTACGATATCCATCTATTTAAAGAATTTTACCGGTGGCAGGCATCAACTAATATCTACTCTATCCTACAAAATGGTGCTAGAGAAAATCCGCAGATTTCCTCGAGGACGGGTCATCTAACATTTTAGTCGTTTCCGTTGGACTTGCGGTGGCACTGTCCGGCGTTCCTTTCGATGGTGTTGGCGCTTGCGGTGCGGTTCCTTTATTTCGACTTTTCGATCTCCTTTTCCTTAAAATTAAAGGCCCCAAACCGGTTCCTTCGGCGTACGGTAAAAGATCGGTCGGTCGCTCTGGAGGAGTATTGATGGAAGACGTTTTTTTTGTGTCATCGCCTTGCGGAGACGTTGAGGAACTGCTTTGAGCGCTTACTTTCGCCAGAAGCTCGACGAGCATCTCCTCCATTCGACTCATTTTCTGATTGAGTCTTTGAATCTCCAGTTTGACGTCAACCTTAAAGTCCATTAAGTTGGTCATTAATTCTTTGTATTCGGGCGGTGCGATCGATGCTTGTTGATGATGAGATGATTGGTATAACGATGCTGTGGATGGATCTCTTAATCCGCAATCGTAACTTTGCATTTTTCTTAGTTGAACCCCGCGATGAGGTGCTTCGATTTCGACGATTTCTTCGATGGTGTCTTGTCTTGTTATTCCCGGGTTGGATGTTGTGGAGACTTTTTGAAGTTTTGGGAAAACTTTGTTGCCGCTTCCACTTTGGCTCCCACTACTTCCCGATGACGATGAACTCGGACGTTCTTTTGATGCATCTTTTGCACTTAAACTTCTTGTGAAAGCTGATGAGATTTGAGGAGCCTCCGAGCTGGAATCTAAGCTAGATGAACCTAATAATCTTCCCCATTTACTGGTTCTTGCCGGTGTTGTTCTTGCTACTTTTGTGGTTACGGATCCGTTTCCGCTTGCGTCATCTTTTTCAGCGACGGCAGATAATTTAGTGGTAGACATCACCCTAACCATGTTTTTATCGGTTTCATCTCCTTTTTCGACATCTGATGGTGGAGGAGCCGGGGCGTGTTGAGATCTATCTCTTTTAAATTTTGAGAAAATCTTTCTTACGAGATGGTCTTGATTTTGATCTAATTGAGGTTCGTTTTTTTGTCGCTCGGCCAATTCTTTTTCGCGTCTAACGTCGGCAACTTTTCGAAAAATCTGTCTCATTCGTAAATTGTAAGTTAAAACTAAATTTCTTGCGAAACTGTTCGCAAAGGCCTCGTAAAAATCTAACACTTCAAGAAGTTTATCTCTTTTTATTGTATGGAGATCGCAATAAGTTAAAGCGCGGACGTTCGCTGCAGATTGACCCACAGCTTTTCCCTTCCAAAATGAATCTCCGAATACGTCACCTTTTCCTGGAAAAAGATTTTAATTTACTAGGTCAAGTTGTTGGAGAAATCACGCGATGTCGATATTATCGCAAAAATATCCTTGAAAAGAGTTTTGCCGATTATTACTCACCCAAGATCGCTACCACCTCGTCGTCTTGAATAACTTCTAACGAACCGGTTACTATAAAACACAAAGAATCGATCGACTCTCCCGTGTGATAGAGGAGATCTCCGGGTGCCGAATGGGACATCGTAAAATGCATGGCCAAAGCTCTTAAACATCCGTCGGAAGCTAACCGGAAGGCGGGGTGTTCGTTGAATACCTTCCTGTTAAGATGAACGCATATGTCGGCCTTCATGTCTTTAGGGCAAAAGTTCAGGACCTGGTTCAACAAACAAACAAAGACATAAAAACGTTTGTTTTTACTATTCTTTTAAAAAAACATCGGATGCGGCACCTGTGCGTTTACCTTATCCTGATCCAAACCCTTCGTCATTGCCCACGTGGATACCACGTAATCCATAACTCTTTCCGATAAAGCTTTAGGAACTTCGTGTAGCTTCATAAATTCTCTTACGTTGTTTAACATATCGTGATATTTTGCTGTGGCGCTTGTCATTTGCTGAATTATTGTTGTTACGTGACCGAAAATTGTAGCGTATAGGAGCGCTAAAAGAATAATTAAAATGAATTCAGGTCGAATTGGAAGAAAAGAATATTAACTTATATATTACAGTGAAAGCTCTAATAAGCGGACAGTGACGCTTCCGTTACTTTTGTCCGCTTATCAGAGATGTCCGCTTATGAGAAAAGACTACTCAAATTAAAGTACATACACATACATGTATTATTTTGATCAGTTTTCGAAAATTTCGCTTTAATAAAACAAACTTTTTTTCCCGATTTTAAATTTTTTAGCAATATCACGAACTGACAACTTTTCTTTATCTAATAAACACACTATTTCCATTTTCTCCTTTAACATAAGCATCTTTTTCTTTACCACCTTGGAAGCCATTTCAACGCACGTTACACCGAAACGAACAAACTAATAATAACTATGTACTAATGTTTTGGGATTCGTTAACAAGCGGAACTCGTAAAACGAGGAATCCCCGAACACATGTCGGTAAATATCTATTACAGATTACTTTGATGTGTGCGTTTAGTTGCCTACGCGTCCGTTTATTAGAAATTTTTGCCCTTTATGTAAAGAAAAATAGTGTCCGCGTCCGTTTATTAGAGCGTCCGTTTATGGGAAATAAATATGTACAGGATGGTTCAAATTCGATGTCCGAATAGGCTATCTCGGAAACTATAAGAGCTAGAAAAAAAGTAGCTTACATGTCATGATCTCGTTTTTCGAGAAACTGTTAATGCCAATAACCTCAAAGCGCTACCGTCTTTTGTTTTTCCCCTAGAGGCTAAAATTGAAAATATCGTAAAACCAGCAAGTGCAATTATCTTGGTTATTATTATAGGTGGAGTATTATAACTAAGACATTATATGGACACTTTTTTACAGAGAATTTGATGACGTAGTCAAAAAAAATTTTTCGGTTTTAGATTTTGAGATATTATGACAATTTTCGTTTTTTTAAATGGAAACAACCACTGATTATTCGCTTATTAAATTCGTTATTTTTTTCTGATTACAAAAATATGGGGTTAGATAGGTCTATTTCTTATTGTTTTAGAATAAAGCTAAAAATAAACTTTTTTTTAGTGTCGTCAAAGAAATTAAATTTACAGTTTCCTGTAAATTACGGTACTATAACTAAAAATTATTCTACTAAAAATTTATATAAAATTTACTTTATTTTCTAATATGTAACATTCTAACATGTTAAACTTTTCGTAATTTTCGTAATCCATCTTAAAAAACAGGATTTTTAAAGTGACACTTCAGAAAATTTTTGAATACAAACAAATGTTGCTATGTTTATTTGAATTCAAAAAAAACGTATGGCGCCATCTATCAATAATTTATTAAGTCATTTAAGAATAATATTAAATATTAATAAAAAATGTGAAATTATGCAATCTATTCCAACTTTTGTATAATTACATATATAAATTAAATAGTTCAACAAATATATTTGTTTCAAATATCAGAAATATGTTTTTTTAATTTTTAATTATAGTACCGTAATTTACAGGAAACTGTAAATTTAATTTCTTGGAAGACACTAAAAGAAAAGTTAATTTTTAGCTTTATTCTAAAACAATAAGAAATAGACCTGTCGAACCCTATATTTTTATAATCAGAAAAAAATAACGAATTTAATAAGCGAATAATCGGTGGTTATTTCCATTTAAAAAAACGAACATTGTGATAATATTTCAAAATCTAAAACCGAAAAAAATTTTTTGACTACGTCATCAAATTCTCTGTAAAAAAGTGTCCATATAATGTCTTAGTTATAATACTCCAGCTATAATAATAACCAAGATAATTCCACTTGCTGGTTTTACGATATTTTCAATTTTGACCTCTAGGGGAAAAACAAAAGACGATAGCGTTTTGAGATTTTCGACATTGGAACTTATTTAAAAAAAGAGATCAAGACATGTAAGCTACTTTTTTTCTAGTTCTTATAGTTTCCGAGATAGCCTATTCGGACATCGAATTTGAACCACCTTGTACATGAAAATATAGGTTTGGGGTTGGTTCCAAGATTTTTGTCCGCTTATAAGAGATGTCCGCCTATTAGAGCTATTAAGACCCGAATCTTTCTAGATCTAGTGTTAGTTCTAGTTTTAGGTCGATTAAAATATAACACAAAGTAAACACTAGACCTAGAACTAGAAAGTTTCTAGACATACAACTAGAAACATTCGGGTTTAGCTATGTTAAAAGACGCACTGCTAAACCTGATAGCCGTGTGTCGATAGTTTTAGTTTCAGAATTAACACTAGATTTAGAACTAGAATTCTAAAATCCAAAAAATTTTATATATTAAGAACTAAATGAGATATCGTAATAAAATAACAACCATTTTCAAGCAAATTTAATCCAGATTTACTACAACAAAAATAATTTTTTAATTTCCATTAATAAGATGCAAAGTTTGGAAATGAGTGATTTAAAGATTACTTAAAGAAAGAATAATTTCTTTGTAATAAATCCATTAAAAACGATTAATCTTTTAAAGTGTTCCAGTAGAAACACCCGCTATTACCATTCGCCCCCATTGTTATTCGCTGGTAGTTTTTGCGGAATCCGCTGACACGCTTAAGGGTTAATGACCATCTGTACTACAGCGCAACCCGGTATTCCACTAGGATTAATAAGAGAACGAACGCCTTTAGAAATATGCCAAACTCGCTTGAATGCTTTAGATTCCTCCGACATAAAGGAATTCGCGGTTATTGTGTGTCGTTTTCACATAAAAGCATGTACAATTTTTTTTTGGGGTAACTTGTATTGATATGTATCGTTGTTGGTTAAGGGCTCCCCTTGGAAATAAATGACAAAAGTTTGTGCCTGTTCAATTAATTGAGTTTTCCCACTGCCGTTTGTAAGGGGTGACCGCAAACAAGGGAATAATCAAATTTGTGAGTGTAGGAAAAATTAAAAACACTTACCGGCTATTATCATCATGCAAATAGTAAATATTCGTTCATTATCAGTTTCTGCAGCAACATTTCCGAATCCAACGGATGTCATACAGGTCATGGTAAAATAAAGCGCCGTAACGTACATGGTTTTCCTAGATGGTCCATTAATAAGTTCCGATGTACTCGATCCATTATCCCAAACGTATGAATACGGATTCTGAGTGATATTAGCTAATTTCCACAACCAACTGTATTGGACACCGTTATCTGCGTCACATCTTCCTATCGAATACCAAATACAAGCCAACCAATGAGCAACCAGCATATAGAAACAAAGCAGGAGAATTAACATCGCCGCTCCGTACTCTAAATACCTATCGAGTTTCCTTACAACTCGACCCAATCTGAGCAATCGCACCACTTTTAAAGCACTAAATAAACTTCCGATACCCTAAAAATAATTAAAATTAACTAAGAAAAAATTGATATTTTCTTCATACATCTTCGTCGTGATCGAAGGCATTGAATACATCGTACGGTAAACAGCTTAATAGATCGATGATAAACCAACTTCTCAAATAGTTCATTCGTATAACTTTGGGATCCGAAACGACTTCGCCACCTGGTCCAACGAAGGTTGTGTGAAAATTCAAAACGATATCGATGAAAAAGATAACGTCAACAATCGAGTCCACCACCAACAACGAAACGTCTTCGGACGTTTTATTTTTAAAAGCTACGTTATAAGGTACCATAATAGCGGTGTAAAAGGTGAGGCACAAAATGATCCAATCCCAAATCGCCTTGAAAGCGCAATAATGCAGGAGGATGTGAGGTGGTGTTTTTGGAGCCTCCTGCCTGTATTGTGGCATTATATCCGCACTTAAACTCATCATCTTTTAGAAAGATTTTTTTTAAACAATCAAAAATTTTTATATATAAAAACATAATTCCAAAAAGCAGCATGAAAAAGGTTCTTAAATCAGTTTTGATCCGGTTTGAATTCGTTTGATTTACTGACTTGAGCAAGGTGTGATTGTTTCGTGGTGTCCTTCAAGTTTGGCAAATGAGATGAAAACTGTGACACCAACACTGATCTGCTTCTTGTTACTGATCTTGCTAACTTTGCAAATTTTGATAAACCTATGTGGAAATCACAATAAAAATTATTACAAGAAACTTCAGTAAATATAATTAAATATTATATACAGCCTGATTCAGAGTAAGCGCCTTATTTTTTTTTAGCCACACTATGGGTACTACTTTCAAAATATTTGGCAGTAATATGTTTTGGGTCATTCTCTACACGATGGTGATGCCACATTTTCAATTGGAAGAATTATTTCAAAATGGCGACTGTCAACTTTTTTTTTTTAAATGGAATGCCAAAATTTTTTTTTTATTATTGAGGTCCTAAAAACATTCTTTATACGATAGTATTTTGTTTTTCTTAAAAATTCATTTCTTTCCCCATCAAAAAGCACACATTTTAATCTAGTAGCGCATGAATGTTTTACACTCGATGTTATTTTTGTCCAAATATCAAGTAGCGCTAGACACAAAAGAAACAATTAAACTTTATTTTGTAATAAACATCTACTTATTTATTTATTTTGACAAAAATAACATCGAGTGTAAAACATTCATGCGCTACTATACTCTGTTTTTAAACCAGGAGGAGTAAACGCGAAAGTCAGATTTACACTAGGAAAAATCACCAGAAAATATCACTAGATATTTTGGCGGTAAATTTAAATTAATAATTGTTATTATTTATTTATTTACTTATTATTGTATTTATTTTCGTTTGTTATCGTCAACACTAAACATACAAATTAACATTGAAGTTATGAGTGTATTTATTTCAAAATATAATAAAGAAGGGTTTAAGAACACAAAATTTACAATAATGACACGAAACTGTCGAATTGTCAATAACCTAACCTTCAAATTCAAAATTGCCTGTGTGTGAACCTTCCTCGCATTCAACCAATCACGTGCAAGGTCAATCTGGTGATAAATTTAAAACACTCCTCCTGGTTTAAAAACAGAGTATAGATTAAAATATTAGGTTCCTTTTGGATGGGGAAAGAAATTAATTTTTAAGAAAAACAAAATACTGTCGTAAAAAGAATGCTTTTAAGATCTAAATAACAAAAAAAATTTTTGCATTCCATTAAAAAAAAAAATTGACAGTCGCCATTTTGAAATAATTCGTCCAATTGAAAATATGATATCACCATCGTGTAGAGAGTGTCCTAAAACATATTACTGCCAAATATTTTGAAAGTAGTACCCATAGTGTGGCTAAAAAAATAAGGCGCTTACTCTGAATCAGGCTATATACTATATAATAATTAAATTAGTCTTGGGCATCATGGTAAGACGATCTCTAAGCATCTGAGGAATTATGTGGATGCTTATATTTTCAACTTCAGTAAACAATTGTCTAGGGCCTATCTGCACTATCTTGATTTCAGTCTATGTTAATGAGATAGTACAAAAAAACTTTTAGAACAAAAGTTGTAGCAAATTTTATTGTTAACAATATTGCTTTCTTGCACTTTTGCTCTCAGATGCATAAATATTAAAATTTATATTAAAATTATTTACCTCCTTTGGTGTCGTCGGTTTCTATAGGTTGTTTTAAAGCGGTAATATCTCTGAATGTGAGCAAAAACAGGACAACGAGATCCCGTTCGTTCTTGATAGGCGATATTTGCAAGAGCAGCCATAGTGGTGTTTCTAAAATAGGAAATCAAAATTTATTTTATCGTCATTTAAATAAATTAATAATGGTGGAGTTTTCTACTTAAGACAACGTAAAATGTACTTATTCAATATTAATTATTTAATTGGCTCGTTTTACTTGGTACAAATTACGCCCCTTTTAGTTTGTTATAAATATTTTTTACTCTTTTTTAATGGAAAAGTCACAGTAAATAAGAAGAAGAAATTACGTAGATGCCTCTTACAAGCATGCATCTACTGAGTATGCTAGATATACTAGAAAAGCTGGAGTTGCCTAAGAAATTTTAATAGATGAGTTATTTTTTAAATTTAATTTTGTGGTTTATAAGGAAACTACTTAATAATTACTCTACATGCTATTTCAGTGCTTTAACTAATTAGTAAGCTTAATTATTTTGTTCTTTGGGACGTTTTACAAAAATATTATGGTTTACAGACGACATAATAATAATCAATTAAACCATGCCGTTACAAACCAAATATACAAAGACAACATACAAAGCGCAAGAATATAAAATTGCTTTAACCTATATTTCCTATCCACCTTTCGTTTTCACATATCGATTTATAGATTTACCACTTTATTTTCTTCATTTCATTGCGACATTATTTGAGTTGCTTAAACCTCACTCGAATCAGGCGTTATAAGCTACTTTATACAAAAGAAAAGCACCCCACAAAAAGAACCAAAAAAAAATTATACAATCAGCGATAAATGTTTTAATATTTTTGCTAAAAATATTCCGTTGTAAGTTTTGAACTTTAATTTTATTATTATATTAGATTTATGGCTGAAAGTACTTACTGGATGGGTAGACCTTGACATAATTGATCGTTCAACTACGTATTTTTATTAATAAACGTTGCGAAGATTTATGAAAAGATTTTTTAATTTAGTTAAGCAAAAATATGTGGGATTTTTCAAGCTGTAAAGATATGATAAAATAGTAAAACCTCGATATAATGGACTTCGTTAGAACGGATTTTGGATTCTCTGTACTTCTGGTCGTCTTAGTTCTAGTTTTAAAAATGATGATACTTAAATAGAAAGTGTTTTAAAGCTAATTTGGTATGTGTCAAAATGGTTCTATTCAATAAGAAACATCACGATGATACCTGACAAAGAGAAAATAAGTTAAAATAATTAAATGGGATGTAGTCCATAAACTCCGGAAAATTCAGAAAATTGGATTAATTAGTTACTTTGGTTCAAAATGGTTCTAAAAAATAAAAAATATCTCTGTAATACTTAAGTAGGACAATTAAGTTGAAAACATGTTATGGCTTTTGGAAGTGTTTCAAAGTTGCTAAAAAATAGACAAAGGTGAGTGGTGTGTGTCAAAATGGTTCTAATCTTGAAGAAACATCTTGAGGATACTTGATAAAGAAAAAATAAGTTAAAATACGGATACTCCCTTCCCCGTATTAATCCGTTATATCGAGATTTTATTGTAATAAAATAAAAAAGACAGTCAAACCTTTCTACTAAAAGTGTGCAATTATCAAAAAAGATAATATTCAAATATACGTAGGAAAATACGTAGTTCAAGAAACTGAAAACATTCTACATACCTTCGGGAGTGCCTGTTAGAATAAAGAATACAAGAGACATCAGTGCTTTTAGATATTTTCGCTTTTCAATTAATTATTAATTTAAGTTTTGTGTGATGTGTTTTTAAATAAAAATTAAAAAAAAAGGCAATCTTACGAGTTTTTGATTCATCGAATTTGTAAAAATGTTGATTCTAAAAAGCCAGAATAACACACATAGCAGAACATTGATAACAATTATTTTCGATAACATTTTATTAAAACTAAAACATTGAGTACTGGTCACCGAAATGCTCGACAAAAAATAATAATAAAGTTGTCATGCTGTTTACATTCGTTTACATTGAGCTATAATCCTATGGGCTTTGTTCCATGCTGTCGAAAAAAAAACAATGCCCTCTATAGAGAAATGGTGCAAGTCTACGTACCTTTGTTCTCTATACAGAGCATGCGGAGTGCGGACGGTCAGGGAAGAGCGAGCAAAACAAAGACAGACAGACATACGTACAATTACAAAGGGATGTAAATATTAGTTAAGATTTAATAATTAGATATCATTATCTTAAATATTAGAATTAAGTCTGTCTTATTAAAATATATAAAATATATAATAGGGGGGGGGATAATAATAATCAATAATAATTAATAATAATGATAAAACAAAATCACGCCCTCCCCATATTTTTTATTTATATGGAAAAACTGATAACGACATGCTGCTCCTGGCTCAGATGATGAGACTATGTAAATTCGAGTTAACTCTGAAATTAAGTCGTTCAATTTTCCAAAAGCTCCCACAGCACCGAGCTTAATTGTACTTGGCTTGATTACAATCGTTGCAAAAACCTCACGATAAACTTCGCTTACATCATCATTTTATAATGTTTCCATTATTTATTTATTACACAAAATGGACCAAAATATATAATTACTTAATTAATGACATATAAATATCTATATATATTGATATATAGTGTTATATATCATTCTGCCTAACAAAGTATTTAAAACAGATCTTTTTCTGTTAAATTAAAAAGAGTTTAGGAGTTTAATGACAATTTAATAAGAAAGCTTGGGTCGTTTATTTTTTTATGTAGGTAAAATAGACAGTCTGAAACACACCAGCCGTGTAATCAATAGGGCACGGAACTTTTGTAACAAAACGATACGATTTCCCCCCTCCACTCGTTCTCAGCAGAAAATTTCATACAAAAGTTGTTCTAAATTAAATTCTAAAACGATTTTCTCAATAAAAAATATATATAAGAATATATATATAAAAATTCAATATTTGTTTAAAATTACTTCAGGAATAGTGTTTGTTAATACAATTTTTTGCTAACTTGAAATTTTAATTTCCCTCTGAATAGTATGCTATCAAAATTAATTATCTCAACAATTATTGTTTTTATTAAAAAATGTTTTAAATAAAATTTGTTTCAATTTCGATTTTGAATCAATTATCTTAATAAAAAATTTTTACATCTCTATTAATTAACCATCTAAGTGTAATTATGTATAAAAATTTAAAAATTATTATTTTGAGGTTATCTCCTTAATTATTGATTAAATCAAAAAAAGTTGTTGACAAAGTTTGTTTAGAATTGTTTCAGGAACAATTTTTGGTAACACAATTTTTTTCTTACTTGAAATTTTAATTTCCCACTGAACAGTATGGTATTCTTTTAATCAAGATTTTCTGAGAACGAGTGGAGGGGGGAAATCGTTTTGTTACAAAAGTTCCGTGCCCTGGTAATCAAATATAACTCATTTCTGGAATAATATATGTATATATGTTGTTATGGTCGATCCGAGATTTCATCCTTTCTTCCAGTTGATTCCCTATGGAAAGGGAACCACATACTTCTCCATATATCATATATCATATAATAGACTTATCGGTTTGATTTATTTTTTAAATTAATTATTTGATAAATTCAATTTGATTCATTTTGTGTAAACAATACGTAATTAATATAAAGTATCGATTTGGAATTTCTTATTTAAAAACATCCATTTTAAAGTATCAAGTTGAATAATAAATTGTATTAATAGAACGATTTATTTAATTGAACGAGAAAGGAGAATTTCGGGAAATGGTAATTAATCTTACCCCTCGCTACGTAACCATTAATCAAATATTAAAATCTAACACATGTTCGTCAATTAAAACGAGATTGAACGACTTAATCGTTGAGAACATGGTACGAGAAAACAAATTAATGTTTTTGAAACGTTTCAATCCTGCAAATGCAAATAATTAATTAATTTTTTTTGTTTTTGAATTGGTGTGTCGAGAACATCTCTGTAGAACAAAGTATGGAGGAGAAATAAACAAGCATGTTCAAAGATTTTGTGTTGTTTGGGTTTGGTGTTGTTGGAATCGGAAACTTACTGTTTTTCTTGTAAAGCAATATTTCGAACTGGTCGTGGAGCTGGTGCTCGAGTACGTGGTCGATCCTGCCGATGGTCTCCTTGTCGGTTAGTTCGCCGAACATGAAGGCGCACCTACAAGATTTTTGCATCACGTCCGCTCTGTTGTACCCTGATATCTTGCAGAACGCCTCGTTGCAATAGACAATCGGGAAGTCCACAATCTGAGCGTTGGCCAGTAAGAAACTACTGTCTGCTGTAAAATAATAATGATAATTTAAAATTAAAAATAGATTGGATCAATTGGGATAAATGTCCACACCCTCTTTCTAATTAATATTCAAAGCATGATGCTTCTGCACCCTACAGATCGATTGAAAGTGGTGCAGCAGGGGTCAAAAAGCATGATGAACTTGCCCGGCATGTTTCGAAGGTCGCACGTAAGGGGGCTTTATTAGGTCGTGCAGTACCCTTCTTGGTTATAAAGGTGCAATTATCGGAAGAGGAACACTTTGAATGAGTATTTACACCCCACGGTGTGCACTCACAAAATTAGCATATTATCAAGTTCTCCTTCAACTTTTCTAATTCATATCCACCCTCGGCGAATTGATTTAATATCCAACCTTAAACCCGTCATACTGTGATTAACGAGACCTAATTTTAGATAAAATAAAACTTGATTAATTTTTATTATTTTAAGTTTACACAAAACCAACTTTTTCTTATAAGCGATAACGAAATACGGTCTAATCGTGCGAAATAGTTGTAATATGCAAAGCAAGTTCGATAACTGTTCCACGAAAATCTAAGCGGGCATTAATAAGGTCGCCGATGTCACGCTACACGGATTTTGTTTAGTTTGGATACTATCGATTAACAATAAAAAGAAAAAAGCGTCAAACTAAAACGGAGAGAGATTTTTTTTTAAATCTATTTTCTTTAAATGTCTGCCTTTTACTGGCGTTCTATTCCTACAAATTAACACGTTCAAAGCGGGGAGCTTTCGGTTGTAAAACTCGAAATTAATTTGCCCGCTAGCAAACTACCTTGTTTACATCGTTTGTACCCGTCAAAACTTGTACGAGTGTACTAACTTGTATAATGCAATTCAGTTTCGTTGCGAAATTATTTCAAAAATTGGAAGTTACTATTTGGTGTAAAAATCAACACTTAATTCTTAAAAATAAAGCATTATACATAAATTGATTAATAAAATGAGCAGAAATGGAAGAAAAAGTGAGATGTGCTAACGATGACATCGAAGAGAATTTTGGTGATAATGATAAAGTGAAGAGTTGTAAGTTTATCATTTCTAATGAGAATGAGCCTAACGCTGAATATCAACTAAAACTAGAGTTAACACTAGCACTACAACTAAGGCTACACCTAGAACTAGATATATTCAAGTTTAGTCGTCTTGAGAGACGCAAGGCTAAACCTGAAACTTTATAGTTCTAAGTCCAGTCTTAGTTCTAGTTTTAGTTTTAGACACAGAGTTTCACTCAAGACGGCTTAACCTGAATGTTTCTAGTTCTAGGTCTAATATTAGTTCTAAAACTTAAACTAGAATGTTTCTAGTTCTAAATGTAGTGTTAGTTCTAAAACCAAAACTAGTAGCACTGTTACTATGTAGAACTAACACTATACCTAGAACTAGAATCATTTGGGTTTAGCCGCACGTCTCTAGAGACGACTAGCTACGCTGGATTTAGATCCAACCAACGTAAAAGAAACCAAGCAAATGCCAAAACTTCACATCAAACCTCCAACAAGATTGGTAGACCCGATGACCTCTCTAAAGTTTACGAGCACAATTCCGAAGTAACAACTAAACATAACATTTATTACCACTCAAAATAATTTATAACCTCGCAACGCCAAAGATTATTTATTTAAACATTTTTTGTTAATCATCAAAATGCGTGTGTTTATTGAAAATGGAATAGTTAGAGCTCTTGATTGCTTTACCCTTGGCATGTTAAGCCGCGTTTGAAACGATACGATCATCCCGCAGTGTGATTTAAACCCTTTTTATAGATCGTTTTTAAAACGTCCTACTGCCCTAGATGTTTCCCGTCAAGGACAACTTCTCATCAAATATTATTATTATTAAACCCCGTTTTTCCTCCAATATTTTCTTTTAAAATTAAATTTTCGTCCGCGATGTAGATAGGTAACTAATGCGGCAGCAACGTGAAATGTCAAAGGTTATCTCGAAGTTATTGACCATAAAACCTCGCAAGGATTCTAGAATTAGATTAGAAGCGCCCGGCAAATAGCGCGTTTATTTCCTTGCGGATATTTAAACGGGATAAGTTTGAATGCAAAAGATTTCACATCAACGTAAATAAAATTCGCCCGGTTTTTAAGTTGAAATTTTACGGAAATAACGAATCGATTGATTCCGGTTTCCGGTCGTTCGGTGGGGAGCGGAAAACCGATTAAGTACATTCTCGATTTACCCTCACGTGAAGTACTACTTGGATATTTACCGGAAAATCCCATTAACAAAACAAATTAAAAAACTAAGTTTATACTATTTATTTATATTTAAACGATTTAAAATTTATTTTACGAAATTAGATTTTTTTATATTAGCATATAACGTTTTAAGAATTACTTTTTAATGTAGTTTGGTTAAACCCAAATGATTCTAGTTCTAGGTCTGGTGTTAGTTCTAGTTTTAATTGTTATGCAGTGCTGGATTGTTGTATATTTTTATTGACCTAAGACTAGAATGAACGTTAGACCTAGAACTAGAAACATTCGGGTTTAGTCGTCTTGAGAGACGTGTGGCTAAACCCGAATGTTTCTAGTTCTAAGTCTAGCGTTAGTTCTAAAACTAGAATTAGAACTAACACTAGACCTAGAACTAAAAACATTCGGGTTTAACCCGTCTTGAGAGACGCACGGCTAAACCCGATTGTTTTTAGTTCTAGGTCTAGTGTTAGTTCTATAACTAAACCTAGAACTAACACTAGATCTAGAACGCGGGTTTAACCGTGCGTCTGAAGACGAACTAATATTAGACCTAGAACTAGAAACATTCAGGTTAAGCCGTCTTGAGTGAAACTCTGTGTCTAAAACTAAAACTAGAACTAAGACTAGACTTAGAACTATAAAGTTTCAGGTTTAGTCTTACGTCTCTCAAAACGACTAAACTTGAATGTATCTAGTTCTAGGTGTAGCCTTAGTTGTAGTGCTAGTGTTAACTCTAGTGTTAACTCTTTTAATAAAATAACAATGTATTCTGTTTGTACTTTTATTGAAAAATGGATTATTTGTTTTCAATTCTACCGGTTTCGGTTCAATAGTAGAACCATCCTCAGGACTAAATATGATGAATATGTATCACACATATTCCTGCCAAACTAACTTTGAACTTAATAGCTAATACCCTACAAGTAAAAAACACAAGTTCTTGTGAATTGAAGAAAAATTTTTAACATGTTAACTATCGCAAGAGACTTAAAAATAAACTGACGAAATTCGAGGGTCCTGAGGATGGTTCTACTATTGAACCGAAACCGGTAGAATTGAAAACAAATAATCCATTTTTCAATAAAAGTACAAACAGAAGACATTGTTATTTTATTTAATGCTTTAAAATGGAAAGAAATAACGAATACAACAATATTAACTGTTTTAGTTGATATTCAGCGTTAGGCTAGTCAGACCTAGTTCTAGGTCTGGTGTTAGTTCTAGTTTTAATTGTTATTCAGTGCTGGATTGTTGTATATTTTTATTGACCTAAGACTAGAATGAACATTAGACCTAGAACTAGAAACATTCGGGTTTAGTCGTCTTGAGAAACGTGTGGCTAAACCCGAATGTTTCTAGTTCTAAGTCTAGTGTTAGTTCTAAAACTAGAATTAGAACTAACACTAGACCTAGAACTAAAAACATTTAGATTTAACCCGTCTTGAGAGACGCACGGCTAAACCCGATTGTTTTTAGTTCTAGGTCTAGTGTTAGTTCTATAACTAAACCTAGAACTAACACTAGATCTAGAACTAACACTAGACCTAGAACTTTCTAGTTCTACGTCTAGTGTTAGTTCTAGTTTTAATTGTTATTCAGTGCTAGATTGTTGTATATTTTTATTGACGTAAGACTAGAATGAAAATTAAATCTAGAACTAGAAACATTCGGGTTTAGTCGTCTTGAGAGACATGCGACTAAACCCGAATGTTTCTAGTTTTCGGTCTAGTGTTAGTTTTAGTTTTACAGTAGCACTATCACTAGAACTAACACAAGACAGAACTAGAATCATTCGGGTTTAGCCGTCTTGAGAGACGTGCGGCTAAACCCGAATGTTTCTAGTTGTAGGTCTAGTGTTACTTTTAGTTTTACACTAGCACTATCACTAGAACTAACACAAAACCTAGAATCATTTGGGTTTAGCAGTCTTGAGAGATGTGCGGCTAAACCCGAATGTTTCTAGTTCTAGGTCTGGTATTAGTTCTAGTGACAATGCTAGATAGCACTAGTTAGCACTAGATATCACTATGTTACATATTTTTATTGAACTAAAACTAGAACTAACACTACAAACTAATACAAGACCTAGAACTAACACTAGAACTAATACAAGACCTAGAACTAGAATCATTCGGGTTTAGCCGTCTTGAGAGACGTGCGGCTAAACCCGAATGTTTCTAGTTCTAGGTCTAGTGTTAGTTCTAGTTTTACACTAGCACTATCACTAGAACTAACACAAGACCTAGAACTAGAATCATTCGGGTTTAGCCGTCTTGAGAGACGTGCGGCTAAACCCGATTGTTTCTAATTCTAGGTCTAGTGTTACTTGTAGTTTTACACTAGCACTATCACTAGAACTAACACAAGACCTAGAATCATTCGGGTTTAGCCGTCTTGCGAGACGTGCGGCTAAACCCGAATGTTTCTAGTTCTAAGTATAGTGTTAGTTCTAAAACTAAAATTAGAACTAACACTAACACTAGACCTAGAACTAGAAAGTTTCGGGTTTCAGATGTATTAGGTCTAGTGTTAGTTCTAGTTTTAATTGTTATTTAATGTTAGATTATTCTATATTTTTATTGAACCAAAATTAAATTTAACACTAAATCTAGAACTAGAAACATTCAGATTTAGTCGTCTTGAGAGACACATGGCTAAACCCGAATATTTCTAGTTTTAGGTCAAGTGTTAGTTCTAATACTAGTGCAAGTCTTAATTCTAGTTTTAGTTTAATAAAAGATTGAAGAAAATTGATAGTTTTGTTAACAAGTGTTTACATAATAGATTTGAATAAAATTAATCTCGGCGCGAATATATGCAGAATTAACTCGCTTTTAATAATTAATATTAATTTTGTAACTCAAAATTTGTTTTACTAATAAATGTTAAGTTCTCCATAAATACTGAAAATCGATACTGAGATATCTCCAATACACAAATTGGCATGAAAAGAGCGTTACGTTTAAAGTTTTCCACGAATTCGCTTGGAACTATTTCCATAAAAAGAAGTGAGAAACTTTGGGCAACTTTTTTTTTCGAAAACTCTTTTTATAAAACTTGAAGTTATTTTTTGGTTTCAAGCTTTTTCATTTTATTTGTTTATTTATGTTTTTGACATCTTAAGATTAATGTTGATGTTGTTTGGGGATGAATAACATCAACATTGAACGCAACGTTGCATATGCATGGTTCGCTATTAATAGATTCATTTTCTATTTCTGGACCTCCGGTACTGTGTGCACTTTGGGGTGAACAACCCCTTATTCGACTTTGTTCGGACGCACTCGACTCACTTCTAGGTTAAAGGGTGACGTGCATTTTTAGCTACGTCATCCAGATAACATCATCTCCATTTAGAATCAATCGAAACTATTAGTTGGCAGTTAAACAAAAAAAAAGTAAAACATTGTGATAACATCACCTCCTTGAAAGTGTTTTCAAGATATTTTCAAGGTCACGGTGAAAGATAAGAAACTCGATCGAGCTTGCACTTGCTCGCGTATATGCAACAGTGAGTGATATCGATTAGTCGTTAAGGGTTTACTGGGGCTTCCACATTTACGATTTGCGACGACGACCATCAACTGGATGGTAGCCAAAGATAGCTTTTCAAATCCGCGCGCTTTTTACCCTCCAACACAGAGAATAATTAGGTTTTTTTCAACACCAACAGAAAGCACTCCCCCAAAGCAATCTGGTGTATATAAAAAAATTAAGGGATTCTAATTCATTGCTTGTAGATGTAAAGAGGGAGTTCATTTATTTAATTTTATTGCCATTGAGAACTCGGAGGCACCAAAAAAGGGGGTGAATTAGGGTTAACAAGTTATTTTATGTTCACTGAAAGAAAAATTTTTCAATACTTACGCTGTTGATTTGAACGTCTTATAATGTTCTCTAAAAATGTATTCTGTGGGGCGACTAAGCCCCGTCTTCCTCCAGGCATCTTCAATGATTTCTTGTCATCTCAACATCACCAGAAGCAGCATCTTACCACTTACATACATAAAACTGAACGTTTACTCGGTTGTCAATTAATAATTAATATTAAAACAACGAACTCGTTATCTTCGTTCCCGTTGTGATGTTATTTTTTTCTTCTTCTCTAACCGGAATCGATGTGTTTCAGTTTTTTTAACATATTGTAATCTTCTTTTTGACGTCTATACTACGTGGAATATCCATAAAGTTGCACATGACAACACTGAGTTTCTCCTTAATAAGCGAACCTCTATTATCATATTAACACTTCAATTATTATTAAAAGCTCCATTTCTTTGCGAGAAAAACAGGATTAAAATCTGTTTGCGAACGAAATCGTATCGATTCGGAGCGCTTTTTGGCTCGCGATCTTAAAGATTTACATTTTTGCTACGTCCCGAGAGGGAAAAATTGAAAATTGACACACCAATGCGTTGGTGAGGGCGTCGCGACGTCGACGTCGTTATATACAATCGCAAACTGATCGTGGAAGCTTTGGAAAATCGAAAACGACGACAGCGCCCGCGTCGATTCGCAACGGCGAAACCGCCAAGCTTTGCGCGAGGTTAGCTTTTCAACACGCGAAAGAGGTTTATGATTGCGGTTTAATGCGCAAAAAATAAATAAATTTTTATTTAAATTAAAAGTGATTTAAAAAAAATCAAGAAAATAATTTTAATAAATAAATCAAATTTAAAATTTATTAACAAATTTTAACAAATTCTTTTATTAAAACCAAAAATACCACAAATTAATCTTTTTTTTATAGAAATGAATTAATTTTTATTAAAAATTAATTATTTATTTATAAAAATTTAATTCGCCATCTATATTTTTAACCCCGAAACATAAAATTAAAAATATTTCACAGAGATGGCGCTAAATTCCGTCAACATAGGTCCTTAACCCACAATAACATCAAAACATAACCTCAATCTTTCATTTTCTCGATTCATTTAATTTAAATAAACGAAAATATGACCGCTCATATAATTTGTGTAACTTCCGGAGGAGGTCTTCCAATTTTTACGAGAAGTAAAGGATGCACCGAAAATGTACGTCGCAAAAACGAAGGTATTAATTTTTATTTTAGCCCTTTTTAGTTATCTTTTTCAATAATTGGGTCCTTAAATGGTGTACACATGTTCTCAAAATCGCACCTAATTAATTTAATCAGTACGGAAACTCAAGATCATTGCGTTGTTTGGAAGGAATTCCACGATAGTGTGGTTCTTATTGGAATCGCTTCGGGATGTACCGTCGATGTTTTTGAGAAGTTATTAGATTCGATGTTTAACGCGATGGTTTTAGTGGTTGGTTTCGATGAGATTAAGCAACAAAGAAATGTTGAGCGATTAAAGCGAGAATTACGAGTAAGATTTGTAAGTTAGAAATGAATAATTTATAATCTTTTTCTTTTATAGACTTGTTATCCAATAATAGATAGATTATTAGATACATTAGATTGTGGGGATTCGTCAAATAAACACAGTAGCGACTTAGTAAATCTAGTTGAATGTATTTTATGCCCAGAAAATCAAAACATACAAAGTGTTCTTAATTCTTTCACAGAAACCATTGATACAATGTTTAGTTGCATTTTAATTCATGGAAAAATTGCTGTTGCAACTGAAAGTTGGTGGAGTTTATGCCCGGATGAATTAAAATTGTTATCCTTTTTGGCTGTAGTAGAAAATACATCAAGTAGTAAAGATATCCCGGTTTTTTTACCATATAAAAGCCCAAATGTAAATTTCGTAATCTCTTAATTACTCCCTCTGTCCCATATTATGGTATACATTTCTCTAAAATTTTTGGGTTAAGGAAAGTTTGGAGAATTAACAAGTTTCTACCCATTTAATATAATCTAGTAGTATCTTTTATATTATCTAATTAAGTATTAGGCGGCTATGTTGAGATATGTCAATTTGTCTGACAATTACAAGATACTTGTTGTGTCAAAATTATGGGAGATATTTGTCTTGAATTGTATAATAACAAATATCAGATATAATATCAAATATTAATAGCGTGATGTTATTGGTCAAGCTGCAAGGAAGTTTGATGTTTCCTGACTAAATTTTACGCGTATTTGGAATAGGCTGAACGAAATATTTGTGGTTTCTAGAAAAAGGTATTGTGGCCGAAAGCGTAACAATTACTGGGAGAATTTTGATAAAATCAAAGAAACTCCACTTAATCGCCGACATGGCACAATTCGGAGTTTGTCGTTTGCAATAAACATTTCAAAATCGATCGTTTTTCGCATTTTCAAAGAGGGACGACGCTTTAAAAGAATATTCTTAATAATGAAGCCACTACTAACGGACTGTAACGAAAGAACGAGACTTTTACAACTACGTACATATAGACGAAAAGTGGTTTTACTTATCGCAAGTTAAAAGGTCAAAATCACGCTGAACGAAGTAAAGCCAGAAAGGCACTGTAAAAGTAAATGGTTCATAACTAAGATTATGACAGTGCCAGAAAACAGTATTTCAACGGCAAAATAGAACTCTGGCAAGAACCGAGCAAGACGAACAATGGTGACCAAAATCATCGAGTCTATTCACGCAGCAGAATGCAAAAAGATGACAACGTTTTACCAGCCATTAGATCCAAATTCCCTAAAAGCGCATAAAGCCAAGACAATTTATGTTCAACAAGATAATGTAAAACCGCATTCTTATGAAAGCGATTGCTGAACGAAGGATCAAGAGATGAAATCATCACAGCCACTGAATAGCGCTAATTTGAATGTTATAGACCTTGGCATCTCCAATGTTATTCAGTCTTTGCAGCACCAAACATCGCCAAAAGCTATGGATGAATTAATAGTATTTAATATACAGGGTGTGTCAAATGTCTGGAATATAGCCAACTTTGATTATATATAATATGGATTGAGCCAACGAGAGAGATAGCTTGCGCAAGGTGATCGAACCGAGATAGACATAGAAGCGTACTGACATATAATGGCGTGCGTTAATTTTGGCGGTAAATTTAAAACAAAATTAATAAATGAAAAAAGAAAAAAAAAGTAAAATAAAATAAAATTTCCTTATTATTTATAATACTTACAGGTGATGTGAAACTGTATTATCGCGAACTTTGCACACGAAACAATACATTTTTAAACATAACCGTGTGACTGGCTGTGACACAACAAAACGATAAACGTCAAATGGAAGAGGTTTGACACGTTTGTGCGCATGCGCCCGTCTGTTTAGTACCGTTTTATGTCTATCTTTGTTACACTTTCACATTATCGCTTTCCATCTGCGTCTATTCATGTTGAGGCACATTTTTGTTAGTAGATATATTCAGTTAGCTCAATCCATATTATATATAATCAAAGATAGCCAATAACTTTGCCATTTGTGGTTTTAGAGAAAAATGTTTCAAATACAATTTCTTTATTAATCGTGGCGCATTTTTTGGTAATATTTGCTTGTTTGCATTGTTTTTTGTTTCGTTGCTATGGCAACCAACATTGTATTAAATTTGATGCATACAAGGACAGTAGAATCTAACAGGACTGCTACATCCATTGTTGTGACAACCTGCCCTCAAACTACGTCATACCATTTGCCACGCCCAGCTCTATGCGTTTGCTGTGGTTTTAGAGGTTATATCGTAGACGTATTCATATTATTTTTGAAGTTTTATTTTTTTAGACGTATTAATGTCTATCATGTAACCTCTAAATCTCTAAAAACACACAGCAAACGCATAGTACTGAATGACAGTTAACAGGGCGTGGCAAATAGTGTGACGTAGAGTGCGGGCAACCAACCCGTAGTGGGCTACAAAAATACAATGCATGTAGCAGTCCTGTTAAATTCTACTGTCCTTGGGATGCATATATTTTTTTTGCATACTTTGATAGAGCATAAGTAACTCTATGCGATGAACATATCAAATCGTATGCATCCCATTTAAAATAACAATGTTGGTTGCCATAGCAACGAAACAAAGAACAATGTAAACAAGCAATTATCGTCAAAAAATGCGCCACAATTAATAAAGAATTTTTATTTGAAACATTTTTCTTTAAAACCAGAAATGGCGAAGTTATTGGCTATATTCCAGACATTTGACACACCCTGTGTATAATAATAAGTATTATACAATGTTATCACTGAAAAATTCGTACATTAACTCGTTTTCTATGCTCCATCGGTTTTTAGTCAAGATTTTCTGATGCTAATTTGAACAAACAGCATTGGATAGTTTTGCAAAGGAAAAGTTTTGCTTGGAAAAAGGTGATGTCCTTATGACTACCCTTATGCTAACTAGCGCTACCTAGCACTGTCACTAGAATTTACTAACATTTGTCCTAGAACTAGAAACATTCAGGTTCAGCCGTCTTAAAAGACGCATAGTTTGGACTCTGGCCTTTTGTTTATAAAGAATCTACAAAAATAAACAGCAAGAACTGGGCAAGAGGTGACAATGGTGACCAAAAACATCGAGTCTATTAACGCAGCAGAATGCAAAAAGATGATTATCGATAACGTTTTACCAGCCATTAGATCCAAATTCCTAAAAACGCATAAAGCCAAGACAATTTATGTTCAACAAGATAATGCAAAACCGTATTCTTATGAAAACGATACGGAATTGATGGCCAAACGATCAAAAGATCAAGAGATCCTGAACAGTCCTTGGCTTCTTCAATGCTATTTAGTCTTTGCAGTACCAAACATCGCCAAAAACTATGGATGAATTAATAGATTGTATTGAAAGTGCCTTCGACGTATGTATTAACTAAAGAAAAATTAGATAACGTATTCTTGACACTACAAAGTGCATGGAGTCAACAATGATGGCCTCAGGAGGCAACATAATAAAATTGAGCACATTAATAAAGAAAAACTGCCGCGAAGTGAGTTTACCTGTTTCTATTATAATGTTTGTGCAACCAAACTGCCATTGAAACAGCTATGTTTAAATTGAAATACTAATTTTACAAATACAATAAAATAGTTTTCAAAGTTTTGTATATCATAATTTGGGACAGAGGGAGTAATTAATTTCTTAATTAAAATTAATTTTAGGCTGCTTTTCGTTTCATATCGGTAACTTTAATTCCGGATGTTCAACTTTGTTGTCTTTGTGGCCCAACGCCTTCTTTAGAAGAAGTCGAACAATTTTCAACGCAATCGTTCAAAAATTTGTTGGAAGTTTTAGCAGCTGCCGGACAATGTTATCCTAAAAATTTTCCAAGTTCTTTGCAATTCGATCAAGGAATTTTGGGGTAAAATAAATTAAATTCTACATCATTTGTATGATAAAATAATAAATGTTTTATTAGACTCTTGTTAATAAATATACCAATTGGGAAATATATGATGTCGAGATGTCCACATCAATCGATTGGTAAACGAGCTTCAAGCGGATCTCATCGATTGGATATTTTAAGGAGCTTTTATTATCAAGCGGTAATGGATGTATTAAATAATGATAAAGATAAAATTCAAGGAAATCAAGAAAACGAATGTGGGTATATTAAAAAAGAGGATTCTTTGAGAAATATTTCGATGGGGAACGAAACTTATTGGTGTTCGGAATATCATAAATGTCATGCTGCGAGAATTGATAATAACATTTTGTGTGTTTTATATAATTCTGCCATTCCCACTCATGCAATTCGATTGTTAACACAAAAAACTTTAAAAACCTTTGTTTGTGATAAACAAATTTGTTGGTAAAACACGTAAATATAATTTATGTTGAATCGTATGTTGGTGATATATATATTTGAATGCAAAATAATAATATTTTGAATACAAGATATTAGTCAATTAATGTTTAATTTGTAGACCGAAAGAAGAATTTCTCCTTAAATTCCTGTGCACTCCTTTCCATGGCGAAACTTAATGTAGCATACTCCCAAAGACCTTCTATCGCAATTAAGGTAAGATAAAAAGTATTCACAACCACGAATTCGACGACAAAGAATTTTGCTTAAATCTGTAAGCGAAATAATATTTTAAACATCTTCCTTTAAACAATTAAAGTTTATTTGACTTGGAAGTTTCCCACAGATGTATGTTGTGCATCTATGTTTAATCTATGAGTTTTTACCGAAACGGAATCTGGGCTTTCTTTACGTCCATTCCTCCCAAAAAGTTCTGATATTCACTTTTACGAGACGCGTTACAAATCAACTTCCCCATCATCGTATAATACTTCAAACTTGTTTCTGAAGAAGGTAATAATTGTGTAAATAATATCTATTTCGCTCCGTACTAAAAGCGTATCTGAACTTATGATGCAAATGGGTTAACCAAGTAATATTTCGATGTCTGCGTTAGATAAAATGACAAGTGTGGTGTTGATTTGATTATTCTTTCTATAGGCTAAGTATAGGATAACTTGCATTTCCAAAAACTACCAATATACACATTTCCAGAAACTATCAATATGCATATTTCAGGATAACTTGCATTTGCAGAAACTGCTAATGCGCTGGTTTCTAGATAATTTACATTTGTAGAAACTACCAATATGCACATTTGGACAAACTTCCAATATGCTGTTTTCTGGATAACCTACATTTGCAGAAACTATCAATATGCATATTTCTGGATATTGTACAGGTGTCCCAATTTCGATGTCCGCAAAGGCTATCTTCGAAACTAAAAGAGATAGAAAAAAAGTAGCTTACATGTCATGATCTCGTTTTTCGGGAAAATGTTAATGCCGAAAACTCCGAATAGCTATCGTCTTTTGTTTTCGCCCTATCGGCAAAAACTGAAAATATTGCGAAAACGACAATCGCGAATATCTCACGTATTATCAAAGATGGAGTATTATAAATAAAACATTATATGGGCAATTTTTTACGAAGAATTCAGTGGCGTAGGTAGAATTTTTTTCCCATCTTTTATTTTCGAGATTTTAGACGTAACTTTATTTTTTTAAATGGAAACCATAGTTGGCTATGACCTAAAATAATTTGTTATTTTCTTCTGATAACAAATATATATAGTTTGTGGGGTAGATTTCTTATAGTTATTGAATAATTAACAAAAATTCATTTTGTTCTATCTAAAACTAATGTATGTATTTAAAAGTTAATGTTGCTATGGTGATAACCATACATACTATGATGGAACATAATGTATCAAATAATTGCCAAAGTTTGTATTTAAAAATTCGATAACAACTCTGGCATTATATGCTGGTACGATGCACCAGCATGTTAAGTGTCAAAGTATAACAAAACTGAATAAAACTTTACAATGAATTTCGAAAATTATGAAAAATGTAACATGATGGAATGCTATATGTTATCAGATAAGAATGCGACGTTAGCCACGGAATTATATTACGTAAGAACTTTCAGCCGGTTAGTAGAAAATTTAATAGATTTTTGGTCCTTCCCCAAACCACGTGCAAAAACATACCAAAATGACCTGTAAGAGGATGAACTCAATGTGTTGGCTTCAGTTGCGATAAATCCATCAACGTCTTGCAGAGAAATTGAACAAGACGTCTGACCCAAAAGCCTCTGCTCCCGAGTATGAAAGAAAAATATGTATAAACCATACAAAGCGGGGCTACCTCATTATTTACGTGCCAGAGGTGCCAATCTAAGATTAGAATTTTGTAGATGATATTTAAAAAAATTAAATAATCTGCTGTTTGTTCAAAATGTCATCTGGACCAATGAATTCTCTGAGTGTTCAAAGAAGGTTGGGTTTCAATGTATGGTGTGCCCTTTTAGATAATAGAATTTTGGCATATAGTATCTACCATAAAAACTTAAACTCAGATAAATACCTCAATATATTAAGGCGGCACATTGTAAGGCGACAATTTACCATTAAATATGTCTTAAATGATATATTTTCAATACGACGGAGCACCAGCAGATAATGCCAGAGTTGTTAGTGAATTTTTAAATACTACTACAAACTTTGGCAATAATAGGGCCGTTAACTATTTTTTTTTTATTGGCTCATTCGAAAGTTTTTTAAAATTGATTGATACCCCATATTTTTTAATTTTTGATTCTGAGGCTTAGTTTTTCCAAAAAAAAATAATAAAGTTTGAAATTACAGGCCGCGAATTCAGTAGCGCGTCACTCAAATTTGAGCGTATGATTGGAGCATATAAAAATCAATAAAATTCCTGGAGAGAGACAATGCTACGAATCTTACGCGCTAGACGAAAACAGAAGAAAACGGGAGAGAAATCACGGACGTGATTTCTTTCTTCTTACTTAAAACGTCACAATGAATCAGGGGTGGGGAATTTTAAAGTTTCACATTAATTATTGCAAAAATTAAACAATTTTCGAACGTGAAAACGTTACTAATCCGTCTAATTTAATTTACATTATCGATTTTTTGAAAGACGGTCTTTCTAATCGATTGACGTTAACGGCCCTATTGGAAACAATGTTTTCCATCATGGTCTGGTTATCACCATAACAACATTAAGTTTTAAATACATACAATAGTTTTAGAAAGAACAAAAAAAATTGATACATTATGTTCCATCATAGTATGTATGGTTATTACCATAGCAACATTAACTTTTAAATACATACATTAGTTTTAGATAGAACAAAATGATTTTTTGTTAATTATTCAATAACTATAAGAAATATGTCCCACAAACTATATATATTTGTTATCAGAAGAAAATAACAAATTATTTTAGGTCATAGCCAACTATGGTTCCCATTTAAAAAAATAAAGTTACGTCAAAAATCTCGAAAATAAAAGATGGGATAAAAATTCTACCTACGCCACTGAATTCTTCGTAAAAAGTTGTCCATATAATGTTTTATTTATAATACTCCATCTTTGATAATAAGTGAGATATTCGCGATTGTCGTTTTCGCAAAATTTTCAGTTTTTGCCGATAGGGCGAAAACAAAAGACGATAGCTGTTCGGAGTTTTCGGCATTAGCATTTTCTCGAAAAACGAGATCATGACATGTAAGCTACTTTTTTTCTATCTCTTTTAGTTTCGGAGATAGCCTATGCGGACATCGAAATTGGGACACCCTGTACATTAAAAGTTCCTTTTTGATGAAAACACTAACTTTTTTGTAGTTTTCTTATGAATGTAATGTTCATTTACATTTTTTTTGGCAATTGCATTAGCTATCATATGTCAAAGTTTGATGGTGAGCTAATAAATCACCCTGTATATTATTTAAAACAATTAAAAACAAACATGTTTATTTATTTACTTTTATTTTTCTTTGTACATTTCATTTACAAAAATAACTAACATTTATGACACTCTTTGCGCATCAAGAAACTCTATTCGATTTTTTTTCGATGTTATTAACAAAAAATAATTTACTATACCGCGTGTTTTTTTTTTACATACAGTTTAAAAAGGCTGGATTTTCTTTGAGTTTACAGAAAATCGATATAAATCGGGAATCACATACACAATACACACGTCGCTACATTTTTCGGAATCGCTGCTACATGTACAATATCTACAATTAATTAATAAAAAAGATTCGGTTTGTTTTTTGTGTAAAATTAATTACAATAATTATATAAATTAATATAATTTATGGTTTTAATTTTTTTTTGGTTTACAAAAAAAAGTCGTACAAAAATATACAAAAATAACAAACAGTACAAAAAAAAAAAAAACGGAAATTAGTTTTGTTATGGCTAAAAATGGCATTCGAGAAGCACTATTAGCTAATGAGCACAATGTTTTCGTTTTTTTTATTACAAATTACTATTTACATACAGTCTAAAAAAGTAAAAAAATACGATTTCACGTTTATTATAAAAATATAATAATATATACACATTTTTATTGCAGTCATTAATAGCATTCATTTAATTAAAAAGTCATTTATTTATTTTTTTTTTCTAACTAAACTAAAAAAATGTTTAATTCCACAACTTTAAAGTTAAATTTTCCATTACACAGCCGAACACTAAATCTTTATTAATTTAACTTTCCATATTAAAAAAAAATTCACTAAAGTCTCAGTTCAGTGTCCACCACAGTTTTCGATCTACTTTGAGGTGGTTGTCTTGGAATCATATGATGAGCTGTAGACAACCCTGGAGTGACTAACGGTGAAATTGATGGTGATTTTGTTGCTAACGGTGATAAAGAAGGTGAAAAACTCGGTGACATCGCCGCGGATGTACTAAACGTCGCCCCGGAGGCATCATGACTTATCGGTGATCTTGGTAAAATAATAATTTGGTTATGATTCGGATTATGATGACTAGGACCAGCTCGTGAATTAATCACCGATCTCGGTGCGACGCTCGTTATTAACGGCGGGGGAATATTTTTCGCTGGTACGATAGAATTTTTACTTTTAACGCTTGAATTCCCACTCGTCGCGCTTTGAACTGAAGCGGTATCATCTTTTAATCGCGCTATTTCGGAGAAAACGTGGGCTAAGGGTTGATATTGAGGCCCCCAGTCTAGAAGATAATCCCAGTTATAACTTCCAGCAAGTTCTTCTTCGCTATGTACAATTGAACTTAACGATCCGTTCATTGATGGTTGATGGGTTACCGTTGGAACATCCCCGTAACCTATCGCCATAACATGATCCATCGCTGTCGTTAAATTATTCGCGTTTGAATTTTCATCCGATGAGCTAGCTCTATCTGAACCGGCGACGTCGTTTAATTTGGCGTAAAAATTTGAGATATTTTCAGCGTTACCGTCTTCGTCAAACATGTGTAAACTATCTAAAGGTACGGATTGATGACTATTTCCCGGTCTTGGATCCCCACATAATCTCGTAGCGGTTTGCGCCGCGCTTCCGTTATTAACAATTCCTAATCTCGCTAAATATTCTTGGGTATTCCTTACAGATACATCCGATAAATTATCTTCGTCATCATTTTGTCGGTGAATCCCCGAATCCCTTTGTAACGGACCCTCATTAATCATCCTAATTTCTTCGTCTTCGCCATCATCACCTTCTTCAGCTGATCCCCTCCCGCTGGAACCCGATTGTTCCGATCCCGATAACTCTGAAGTAGTCGCCGCCCCCGAATTTGAACTAGCAGCGTGTCCACCACCGTAAGGAGGGATTTCGTCGTATTTCGGTGGCGCGAATTGATTGTTGGAGAGCCCCGGGGTGTTTCTAATCGGAATTGTATCAAAAGCGGAAGGATCGACGTAATTATTTGATGTACTAACCGCTTCGCTCCCTAAATTGGGCTTATTTACTTTCTTATTTTTCTTATTCCTCATGTGTAAAAACACAAAAACAGCCCCGAATGTTATTAAAAGCAAAATTAATGAAATTAATAACCCCAAAGCCCAATCGGCGATCCCGCTCGAATTTTGAACCGTTTTTCCATCTTTGTTATTAATAGCTAAATTTGTACTAATATCGTTTAAGGGATCAATCGAAATTTCAACAACGGTCATATTAGTTAAGGATCCTTGCCTTCCAGAACTTGCTGTTATCACCAAACTCACATCGCGACTCGAAAATAATTCAGCGTTATCAAACTTCTTTTTAATAATAACAGCCCCCGTTGTTCTATTTATTTTAAAATAAGGATTTTGAGTCGTCAATTGATAAACAACTCTTCCATCCGGTCCTTTATCCCTATCCGTAGCCGTAACATGCCCAACAATATCGCCAAATTTAATCGAAGATCCCAACCCAAATTTATAAGTTCTCTCCGTAAATTGCGGGTGAAACTCATCTTTACTTTCAATTTCAATTCGAACCTTAACAAACGCCGATTTACCCCCAACGTCGCTCGCTTTTACAATAAAAACGTATCGATTTCTTTGTTCGTAATCAAAAACGGCGTTTGTAACAACCACCCCGCTTAAAGCATCGATATGAAATAATTTCGACGCGTCATCATTGTTTGTGTAAACTTGATGATTCGTCGATGACACAATCGAGTAATTTAAAAATCCAAAAACGCCTTTATCCAAATCGGTGGCTTGTGCTGTAAAAACAGCTGTTCCAACAGCCTCGTTCTCAGCGACGAATTCTAAATATTCTTGAACAGGAAATTTCGGTTCGTTATCGTTCGAATCTTCCAAAATGATTTGTAAAGTGGCTAAAGTACACAAAGGATTTGGAGCTTTATCGCAAGCTCTAATCACTAAATTATGTACATTCAAGCCGTTATCGTAATCAAGGGTGTTATTAACAAGAAAATCTCCGGAATCATCGATCCTATATAAACCTAAATCATTTCCTGATGTTATATCGTAAAGGATTTCTGAATGTAACGTGTTCGCTTGATCGTTATCTTTTGCGGAAATTACAGAAATGGTCGTTCCTACAGCTACGTCCTCTTTAATGGTGTACTCGTAATCTTCCTGTTCGAAAACTGGAGCGTTATCGTTGGTATCATCCACAGAAACTTGAACGGAAATCATTGAATAATTCGATGAGTATCCAACGCCGGTTGATAATTTTAAATTATAAAAATCTTTGTGTTCTCTATCGAGAGTTTTAACCAAAATAATAACCCCACTCGGATTCGCAATTTCAAAAACACCATCATCGTTACCTTCTATTATTAAGTAACTAATTTTGTTTTGTCCCGAATGCGGCAAATGTAAAATTTTCGTCCCTTTTGGCGTATCTTCAGGAATTTGTACTTTGTAATCTTTATCTTTTTGTCTCGGTTGTCCACCTCCGCTGTTCACCTTAACTCGAACGGCCGCTAATGAGTGAAGAGAAGGAGTTCCTAAGTCTTCGGCTTTTACGGTTAATTGATAATCGTGAATTGGGACGGAAATATTGCTTTGATTAACGCGAATCGTTCCGCTGTAATCGTCTATTAGAAATCCTTGAATTTGATTGACGATTGAATATTTTATTTTTGCGTTTTCGCCGGTGTCCATATCACTTGCGTTTACGGAAATTAAATCGATTAGATTTGTTGAATGTCCATCTAAAACAAAAAAAAAATATAATTATAATTTATATAATTAATTAATAATTAATTTTAACATTTTATTATTGATTTTTATTATAGGTTAACGAGAATGGAGAGATTAAAGAAATTGATTGTGATCTTTTTGGAAGTCCTTCAAAAATTCGACGAAATATAAAACGTGTTTTGGTGTGTGTCAAAATGGTGGAAATTGATTGGAAACATCTTTAGATTATATGATGAAACCAAGAAAACTTAATATCTTTAATGGGGATGCTTTCCAGGAAATTTAGAATATGGGAAAAGCTGGTTTGCGCGAATAAATTGGTTCTAATCAAATTAGAAGGTGATTTGTAAGTATTGACATAAATAATAATTAATTATCATTAATATTAATAATATTAAAATTCTCTGATTGAAGGTGATGAAGAGTCAAAGAATTTGGCGGAAAAAAGACAGTGGTCCTTATTTTATCCCAACCTGCTTTCAAGCATAAAACAGAGCGTGATGACGGAATTAAGGTACCCTTTTATTAAGTTTAATTTAATTTGGAAACGATTATATTTTTTCTTATAAGTCTTCTCCTCTTAATCATGTGGTTAAACTTTTATGCGACCTTTCTGAACTAGGTCTACGACTTGGTTTCTTTAACAATGACTAATCTAAACGAGTCTATTGGTGAAATTCTTCAAGCTATCATTAGATCGTTTATCGTCGCGACAGAAATTCTTCTGCAGTTGCTAGTGGTGATGGTATTCTTATTGCTGCACCTGTGAACATTGCCGCCAGCGGCGTGCCTTCCACCAAACACAGTTTATTTCATAATACTCATGGTTAATTGTTACTTGGCTAAGTCTTATATGAAAGAACACTTATATAAAAATGCTGTCAGATATACATTATCCATTGTGCTATTTTGTATTGATATAATATTCATGTCAATACCTCAGCCGCAAGCGACCTCAGCTATCTCCAATGAAAGACTTTTTATATTAAGGTGCTGTCAAACATCAATGATAACTGTCCCCTTTTTGTAGCGATATGATATTCATGCCAATGCCTCTTCCGCAAGCGACGTCTGCTAAGTTCAACGATATCATTTATTTTGGGTCCTAGTTTATGCGATAATCATACAACACTCTAACAAAAGATCAATTATATTAGAGCACTGTTAGATGAATTGTCAAGATTCCCTGAAACTGTCCCGCATTGAATTCAAGACAATGCCTCGGCCGCAAGCGACCTCGGCAAAAACAAACAATATCGTCCATTTTGGGTTCTAGATTGTGTGATATACATGCCAGACTCTAGCGAAAGATCATTTTTAGCAGAGCATTGCCAGGTAAATTGCTAAGTTTACTTGAAACCGTTCTGAATTGCAATCGAGCCAATGCCTCGGCCGCAAGCGACCTCGGCTAAGTTAAACGATATCGTCCATTTTGGGTTCTAGTTTTTGTGATAAACATGCAACACTCTAACGAAAGATCATTTATATTAGAGTAATGTCAGATAAAATGCCAAATTTCCCTGAAACTGTTCTGAATTGGATTGAAGCCACTGCCTCGGCCGCAAGCGACCTCGGCTAAGTATTTTAAAAAGAAAATAATAAAATTTAAAATAATTTCTTACCTGGTAAAGTTGCATAATAAGCATTTTGTGTAAAAACCGGTGGATTATCATTTATATCAGTCACTCTTATCGTTAAAGTGCTATAAGCAATATGAGCACTATCAGAAGCACTAATCCTTAAATTGTATTCTTGTTGATTTTCAAAATCCAATTTTTTCTTTAAAATAACTTTACCATTGTATCGATCAATACTAAAGTTTTTCAAAGACTCCTTATCGTTATCGGCTGCAAAACTATACACCAAAGGAGGATTAGTATCCACATCATTCGCAGTTACGCTCGTAAGAACCGTTCCAACATTTGTGGCTAAAAAATAAATGCAACAAATAAACAAAACAAAAATTAATTAAAGTTACAATCAATTTACCTTCACTAACTGTAATAATACTATGAGGTGGAAATGTAGGTTGATTATCATTGATATCAACGACTTTAATATGAACCCGCGTAGTTCCGGTCATTTGAGGTACACCTTCATCCGTCGCAATAACGGTTAATCGATAAATATCTCTAATTTCCCGATCCAAAACGATATTAGTCCTTAATATTCCACTAAAAGCGGGTTCGATTTTAAACGCATTATCGTGATTACCATCGACTATATGATAAAGAATCCTCGCGTTCTGACCTTCATCCGCGTCGAACGCAAAAACTTGCAAAACCAATTCGCTTTTGTTGTTCCCTTCGAAAAGGGACGCGGAATATTGTTGTTGCGAAAATTTCGGCGTGTTATCATTTTGATCGGTTATTTGAACGATAACGTTACAATACGAGTGCAAAATCGGGTTTGAATCGGTTTTAGCTTCGATCACTAAATTAATTTCCTTTTTTATTTCATAATCTAAAAGTCGATTATCTTTAATTTGAATTTGTCCCGTTTCCGCGTTAATGATGAAAATGTTGTCCTCGTTTCCTGCCCCGAAAGAATAAGAAATTTTTTGTTTCCTCCCGTCGTTTCTCACGGCGATTACTTGAATAACTTCTTGGTAATTATCAAGATTTTCGGGTAAATTAATTCGATAGGTGGCGTTTTGAAATCGTAATTTTGGGGAATGATCGTTTGTTTCTCCAATTGATATTTCGATTAATCCGGTTGAACTTTGTGGGGGATTCCCTTTATCGGTTGCTATTACGTTTAAGTGAATCACTTTCCCGTTTTCGCTTCCTAAGCTTTGAGATGCGGATAAAATCCCGGTGTTGGGGTTAATTCGGAATTTATTTGAGTGATAACTTGAGGGTGAGAGGGAATAAACGATATCGGAGTTGGTTCCTTGGTCGATATCTTTAGCTGATACTTGTAAAATTGTGTGCCCCGGTTGGATGTAAGCGACTACTTTTTCTTTGAAGGGGTATTTAGTAAAAATCGGCTTATTATCGTTTGCGTCTAATATGGTAACTGTTACAGGAACTTTTTGAAACCTCGAATTGTATTTGCCACCATCCGTGGCGACCACGTAAAATTGATACGACGATTTTAGTTCTCTATCGAATAATCCCGCGGTTGTAATAACCCCGGTTTTGTTATCGATGCGAAATAACCACTGACTTTCGTTTGCTAACGAATAAATTATTTGCCGATTAATTCCTAAATCGGGATCGGAAGCGTGGACTTTCATCACTGAGGTGTAAACAGGAACGTTTTCTATGATGCTAGCGAAATAATTCGGTAAATCAAATTTTGGGTCATTATCGTTTTGATCCCCAACGTGAACGGTTATATTACAATAACTTTGAAGGGGAGGATTTCCTTTATCTTGGGCTGAAATCGTTAGGTTATATTTCGGGTGAGTCTCTCGATCTAAAGGTTTCGCTGAAAGCTCGCCGGTTCTTGGATCGATCGAAAATTTATTTCCAATATTTCCACTTGAAATACTATAAATAATTTCGCCGTTATTTCCCGTGTCTTTATCGCTCGCTATGATTGTGTGAATAATCGAATAATCAGCGTTTTCTGGGATGTATAAACCGTAGCAAGAACCCGGAGTGAATTCGGGGGCATGATCGTTTGAATCCGTTACGGTTACGTGAAGAGTGGCCAGATCAAATTTTGATGAGCCAAGATTACTTGTGACATAAATCGGGATTTCATAAGAATCTTTTAATTCCCGATCCAAAATTTTTTGCGTTTTCACTATCCCATTAATCGGGTGAATCGTAAAAGCATCATCGGCGATTCCATTTGGAATGCTGAAAGTTAAATTTCCTTCGTCGTCTTGTTGCGGGGATCTTGCGGCTACTTTAATAACGAAGGTGTTGATTTGGACGTTTTCTTGGATGTTGGCGTAATAAAGTGAGTTGATGAATCTTGGGGGGTTTTCCGTCGATGATTGGCACGCTAATTTAAGTGTTAAATAAGCGTGTCTTGTTGGGGAACCGTGATCGCTGGCTGTTATGTTTAAAAGAAATAATTTTTTGTCGTTTGCGTTAACGGTTCGGGCCAAAGTTATAATTCCGGTGTCGTAACCCAAAGCGAAAGTGTTTCCTTCGTTTCCCCCGGATATAACGTAAGTGACTCTTCCGTTATCCCCTGAGTCGCTATCAACGGCTACGATTCTACTTACAAGCATCCCAACGGTCATTGAATCGCTGAAGAATATCGTGTTAGTTGGGGGTATAACGAATTTTGGGACATTATCGTTTGAGTCTGTTATTAAAATTCTAACAGTTGCTGAAGTGCTTAATCTCTCAGAAACGTTTAATGATTGATCGGTGGCTTTAATAATGATTGTGTATTCTTGTAACGTTTCGAAATCTAACGGGGAGGCTAATACTAAAGTCCCAGTTAAAAAATCGAGACTAAAAACGTTCGGGGAATTCTTTAAAATCGTATATCTCAAATCCCCGTTACTCCCCGAATCAGCATCGGTTGCTGTAAAATTATAAATAACACTCCCCACTTCAGTATCTTCCGATAATTGAATCGTAATGGGGTCCTCCCCCCAAATCGGGGCGTTATCATTAACATCGGCTACATCAACCCTTACGGTAACAGCACTACTTTGAGGGTTATTCATAGCGCTCGTATCCAAAGCTCTAACTTCGAAGCGATATTCCGCAAAAAATTCGCGATCTAATTTTCGCGCAACCACCAAAGAACCCGTGTTTCGATCGATATCAAACGCGTTATTGACGGACTCGGGCATTAAAGAGTTAAGGGTGTAAGTGATATGCCCTCCGGAACTTCCGGTGATGACGTTTTCTTGATCTTGATCCGATGTGGCAACCGATCCGACTATAAACCCGATCGGAACGTCTTCTCGTACTCTAAACACAAGACTTGAACTAGTAAACGTTGGTCTGTTATCGTTTAGGTCTAGGACTTCAACTCGTAGCGTTCTGATCGTTTGTCGTTGAGGATTTCCATTATCAGTGGCGGCTACCGATAACCTATAAATTGTTTTGTCTTCGTGATCGAGGATCATGCGGGTTCTAATGACACCATTCACCGGGTCGATGCTAAACACCCCGTATCCATCTGAATCTCTTCGTTTTAAAATCGAATAAGAAACGGTCGAGTTATTCCCGTTATCGATATCGATCGCTTTGATTTTGACCACTTCGGTTCCGGGAGGTTGTTCTTCTCGGACGCTTACAACATCCTCTTGTGGATCAATAATTTCCGGATCGTTGTCGTTGACGTCCGAGACGAAAATCTTCACCGACACTCTCGTGCTTCTCGATGGAGATCCTTGATCTCTAGCTTCGATTACAAGGTCGTGGACTTCCTTTAATTCCCTGTCGAGAATTTCTTTGGTGACTAGCTCACCTGGAACAAATATTTTAAATAAATAATTAGTTAATTGCACAAGACGTAATTATGAAGTGGTTTTGAAGATTAACGGATTAGAATTTTTTGTTATCAATTTCCCGAAACGAGCACAGCTGTACCCTTTTACTATCGCGGCTTCCGAGTGCTGGCGTTCCCCCGGCGTGAAGTATCTCCGCAGGAATCCGCGTTGGGGCTAAGGGGGTTCGCGGGGAAGCGGGGGCCGACCCGTCGGGCCGCATTCCCGCAAAACTCCGAGAGGACTTCGCATGGTCCGCTACACCATTCACTTGCAGATTTACTACTCGCGTAGAGAGACGCCGTTGCCCCCTTGAATCCCCACCGGGGGCCCCCTTTTTGCACAAACCTCGTCCGATTCGATTCCCGCTCTACGTTAAACGCTTCCAGGAAACGACGTTCACGTCGCCCGTCCGTCACCCGGCCGAATTAGAATCGAGAACTCGAATGGTTTATATCTCATTCTATGAAAATGTAAGGATAAAATTATCGTTAGAGTAAAAAAATTGAAGTGACAAATGTTTGAACACGCCCAAAAGTTTTCAATTTAAAACGATGCAAAATAACTTTTCGAAAGTGATCGCGAGCCTCTCCTTTATTTCTATTCAAGCTTCAGATATGTATTTATGCGCTATTAATTTTACAAGGCCCCGTAGACGCTTGCCCATTGAGATTCGCCGGCCGCACGACGACGACTACGACGAGCTAATGTACAATTATATATTGTATGCAGATCGGGGGACTGAGTCTCGCGGTGGCGTTTGAAAACAACCGACCGAAATGAAAACTAAATCGTCTTTGCCGTTTCGGTTTTCCGATTCCCATGATCCCACCTTAATATTTATATAGTCATTTATTAAAGGAGTTTTCACCGCGGATAATTGATAATAAGTACAATAACGCCACACCAATAACCAATTAATTTACAACCAGGAAATGATTTAACCTTAGGACATCGAACTTCTTTTAATCTCTTTATATTTATATTTATAGTGGTCACTATAAATGGTTGACATTAAATAATCAACAAACAATAATTGTAATAAATCAAGTTGAGTATTTAATTTACATAATAGAAAATTAAAGAAAAAAAAGATTTAATGAAATGCCAAGTTGGTTTATGAGCAAAAACAATTTTATTATAATTACATACTAATTACTTTCGACTCTTTGAAATTGTCATTTCTTATGCCTACGGCTTGTGGTAAATTGCGGTAGCCGCTTATAGTGGCCGCGGTCACGAACGACGATGAGCTATTAGCACCGAAACAAATCCAATCCGACGAATCTGTGTTAAGACAAACGCGCGTACAAATCCGTGTGCAATCGATTCGAATCGAATGCTGGAATAGTACCGTTATCTTCTGTACATATTCAATAAAAATATTCGTTTATATACAGGATGCTTGAAAACTTCCCATCTTAATTTTTTTTCTAAAGAAAAGGCTTAAATCTTAAGAAAAAAGGACATGAGAGAAGGTATCGGTGGAATATCTAAGAAATATTAAAAATTTATGTAAAAAAAAATAGTATTCGAGTTTAGCCCTGTGTCTGTTAAGACCGTTAAACCCGAATGTTTCTAGTTCTGGACCTAGTGTTAGTTCTAGTTTAAGTTTTAGAACTAACACTAAACCTAGCACACGAATAAATAAATAATATATACAGGGTGTCTCACGTAACTGGTTAACTTCGTTATTTTAAATGGAATGCTATAGTTTTTATTGCACCTTTTAATTGTACGTAAAAAAATATGTTGACTTTCATAAAAGTTATTGGTTCCTAGGTTTTTCGTTTTCGAGTTATTTTGATTTTAAGGTTTTTTTGGCAAATTTCACAATGCTCTTTAAAACCTTATATCCCAGCCAACGTTCATTCAAAAAAGCTCTAAATTGGCACGATTACTCTTCAGATGCTCTCAAATAAATTGTCATATATTGTATCAGAGTATCTTATACAGGATGGTCAAAAATTGAATTACCGTTTCTCCATATTCAATGGGGAGAAAGTCGAAAATTTTAAATGGAATGCCCCATATTTTATTAGCCTACACGAAAGGGAATTTAATTCTCTACAATTTATCTATAAACATTTCTATATTTATTTATTGTAGTTTCTCTCATATTCGTAAATTTATCAAAACATGCAGAAAATGCAGGAAACCGTTTGTATTTGTTTGTTTAATTTATTTCTATTATTATTTGTACTATTAACTACGATTGATAATCTTTTAGTTTACTAGCTTTTACTTACCAAACTAACTGGTGACCGGAAATATGCGATTTCTTTTGGTCTCGATATATCCAAAACTAATAAATTCTTTATCAATTTTGTGAAATTTTTCAATAATACAAACATGGACCAAAAAATGTCAAAATTCCATAGCTTTCTAATAAAAAAATCTGTATTTCATGCATGTTTTAATAAATTTCGCAATATAAGGCAAACTACAATAAATAGGTATGGGAATGTTTATAGATAATTTGTAGAGAATTAAATTCTCTTTCTGATAGGCTAAAAAAATATGGGCGTTCCATTTAAAATTTTCGACTTTCTCGCGTCATTGAATATGGAGAAACGGTAATTCAATTTTTGACCACCCTGTATAAGATACTCCGATACAACAAATGACAATCTGTTTGACAACATCTGAAAAGTAATCGTGCCAAAGTAGATCTTTTTTGAATGAACTTTGGCTGAGATATGGAGTTTTAAAGAGCATGTTGAAATTTACAAAAAAAAGTTTAAAACCAAAATAACTCGAAAATGAAAAACGCTAGGTACCAATAATATTTATCAAAGTCAACCTATTTTTTTACGTACAATTAAATTGTGTAATAAAAACTATAACATTGAATTTAAAATAGCGAAGTTATGGTCTACTTCCGGTAGACCGGAAGTGGCGGCCATCTTGAAAATATTTTAGATCGAAAGTTCCGAATGAACAACCCATGCTACCAAAATTTCAAATCTCTACGAATAGTGGAACCTGAAAAAGTTCTAGCGAACCAGTTACGTGAGACACCTGTATATCATAGCGCTGTATAACAATTAAAAGTAGAACGGGCTAAACTCGATTGTTTCTAGTTTTAGATCTAGTTTAAGTTTTAGAACTAATATTAGACTTAGAACTAGAAACATTAGTGCACTAGAATTAGTGTTAGTTCGAAAACCAAAACTAAAACTAACAGACGCAATAATAAATATAACAATGTCACACTGAATAATAACTAAAACACTAAGTCTTCTAAAAAGAAATGTTAATATTTTGAAAAAATTCAAAAAAAAAAATAGATATCCAAATATTGCCAGAATCCAAAAAGTTTTCAATTTATAGCCGATTTATTACAAATTCCATTCTTACTCCTTGGCCTATAATATACGGCCTCAATATATCTTAAAAAGGCTATATAAATATCTAGGTTTCCATAAATTAAATTGGAAAGTTTTCAATTGAATATCCTGTATATGTCTGTATAAACTTACCGCTTATCGGGTTGATCTGAAAACTGGCATTACTCGGGATGATGCTGTACTTGATAGATCCGTTAGGTCCAACATCCAAGTCTTTGGCGGAAACACTACCAACAACCGTACCACGTCTCAAGTTTTCTTCTACGATGAATTCATAGGATTCCTTTGAAAATACGGGATCGTTGTCGTTAGCATCTAAGATTTTGATGATGACGCGAGTTAATGCCGATTCGGAAGGAGTTCCGTTATCGGTCGCCGCTATTGTAAGATTATAAAGATCTTTCGTTTCTCTATCGAGTGTTCCTTTAAGATAGATCCATCCGCTATTTGGAAATATCCCAAAAACATCGCTGTCGTTGTTGACGTTGTTGTTGTTGGTGGTGGTTTTGGTGGAATTCGATGTGATTCTGTAGGTTAGTCTGGCGTTGTTGCCGGTATCCGAATCCGTCGCGGTGACTTGAAGGATCTAAAAGAAGAGAATTATTGGATTTTACAGTTTTATAAATCGCCCCAGACGGTAAAATGTCAACAATTCTCGCGCTGTTTAACTAGAACCGACCGGGAGCTGGTAATAATCGGCCGGAATCTAAAAAGGGACAAAAAAAGGAGACCGCGGCCGGTGAGGTAATGGCCACTTACCTGCGAGTTAATTGGTAGAGTTTCAAGAATTTTCGCGGAGTACTCGTTCCTCTCGAATATCGGCGGGTTATCGTTCACGTCCTGAACTTCCACGGAAACTGTTAGGTTTGCCGATAATTGAGGAACACCTGTATCTGTAGCGGTTATTATTAAACTGTGCCTATGCACGGTCTCGTAGTCCAAATTTCTCGTCAGAGTAAGATGACCCAACTTCGCATCAACATCGAATATCCCCCCGCTTGCGGCTTTATTCGCTATTCTATATTTCACGACACCGTTTGGTCCTGAATCTCTATCCCGAGCGTGAGCGGCGTATAAAGGTACGCCAATCTCAACGTTTTCAGGGACGGAAATCCTCACAGTGTTTGATTCGAATTCCGGTGCATTATCATTGACATCTTGAATTTCGATATTAACCTGTGTGTGTCCGTATATGGGTGGATCACCGGTTTTGACTTGAATGTTGAGTAAAACGGAGCTTCTGGTTTCGTGGTCCAATGTGGAAGCGGTCCTAATCGCGCCGGTCACAGCATCTATCCTAAAGTAGCCATCGGGGTCACCCGAGTATATCGAGTATCTGATCGGCTGGCGACCGCCTGCGAACAAGGAAATTAATTATTAAGATTAATGCTAATTACGGGTTAATTATCGCGTTTTCATAGCACCATCTATCGATGGGCGCGGAAGGGAAAAAACGAGACTCTTTATTAATTACGTTCCTTTTGTTTCTTGGACTCCGTTGGGAGTCCGACTTCGAACCGTGCCCGGTTCTATTGGAGCTCTTTGTGAGCGCGATATTGCTTCAATTTGTTACAGTTATGGCCGGGGCACATCTATTCACACGTAGTTGAGAGTAGAGTCAGTGTGGAATGTGGTATAGGCGAGAGAACGCGATCGCCGTGGTAATTTATAATTCCGGGGCGCGATTGAGTATTCAAGAGATGTGGACGAAAGTTTTTGGTTTTGACGATTTTATTAGAGCGACGAGGAGGATAAAGATGAAGATGAAGATGAGGATGATGAGGATGAGAAGAGTTTGAGGAGGAGGCGTTAGAAATTGTTCGTCAGAACAATGGCGTGTACTACGGGATACTAGTGCCCCCCGCTAGTAAATACAACGGACTTAATTTGTAGGTCCGAGGAGCGCGATAGAAGACAGATTGGTCGGGTATACAGAGACCGCTTTTGTATTCGCGTCTCGGCGCGTCCGGCCCGTTTAGACGCCGTAAATAAGTCGACGACGACGATGAGGAGAGACGGAAGAGACGAAGAAGACGAAGAACGGAGGAGGAAAGATCGAGAGTTAACAAAAACAACGGGCCCAGTGTTATTTTACAATTTATGCTCGCAATAGCGTCGATACGTCTTTCCCGGGCGGCGGAATCCCGCGATTAATGTGTTTGTCACCCGGGGAAGCCGGTGTATGTGCTCAAAAATTAGCCCGTTTCAAATTAAAAGGGGTCTTGTAGCAGTCAGCGGACGAATTTATAAATCCGAGACGGCAGTGTATCGAGTTTCTTCAATTTTTTTGGAAGGAGTCGTCCGCGAGACTCGCCAAACAACTCGCCGAGTTTTAAGGCGACTTCACATCGCCCCAACCTCAACTTATTCGGATCCCAACTTCTATACGCCGAGCAATAATATACGAATCGGGCGCAACATCTCTTAACAAAACGGGAAAAAAGGGGTAATATGTTACCCTCGCCCCCCTTGCGTAACCCGATGAATAAGCAAATAAAACCCATAAATAAAAACGCCGCGACGTTTCCACCGTGTACCGTTCTCTTTGTTTGCATTTACAGTCTTTTAAAGAAATTTCGCATGCGTCCGTATTGAGACGAACAAGATGCGAACTCCAAACCTGTTCGTGCAGACTCCAACATGCGAATACAAAGTGGAAAAAACAGATTATCTTTTTCAATTCAATATTATTCTTCAATGAAAAAACATTCAAAATTTTTTTAACATTTTATCAAAAATTTCATTAAAAGTTTTCACCGAGGCAGTGATTCAAGTATCCAAAAAGTATACAGTAAGACTTTATACAATATATAAGCTTCATCTGAGACGGTGGAGAGTAGTTAGTAGTGAAATAAGGCACAGTGACGTATTTAATGCAAATGTGTTAGGTAGAAGTTGACCCTTCCATGTAGCCAACATAATGGTATACATGCATAGAGAAAGAGTTATTTGTACGTTCCATAAATTAAAGATTTTGCAAAGAAAAAATTTTGCTTGGCACAGGTGACGTCCTTAAGACAACCCAAAGTTTTCGGCCGTCTTAAAAGAAGCACGGCTAAACCCGAATGTTTCTAATTCTAAGTCTTGTGTTAGTTCTAGTGATAGTGCAAAACTAGAACTAACACTAGACCGAGATCTAGAAACAGTCGGATTTAGACGCACGTCTCTCAAGACGGCTAAACCCGAATGATTCTAGTTCTAGGTCTTGTGTTAGTTCTAGTGACAGCGCTAGTGCGTTTCTAATATTTCTAGTTCTAGGTCTAGTGTTAGTTCTAGTTTTGATTCAATAGAAATATGCAACATAGTGATATCTTATGCTAACCAGCGCTACCTACCACTAGAACTAACATTAGGCATATAACTAGAAACATTCAGGTTTAGTCGTCTTAAGAGACGCACGGCTAAACGGAATGTTTCTAGTTCTAGATTTAGTGTTAGTCTAGTTTTATTTCAATAAAAATATGCAACACAGTGATATCTAACGCTAACTATCGCTGCCTAGCACTGTCACTAGAACTAACATTTGATCTTCTTGACCATTCATCTTGACCATTCAGGTTTAGTTATGCCTCTCTTAAGACGGCTAAACCTGAATGTTTCTGGTTCTAGATCTAGTGTTAGTTCTAGTGATAGTGCTGGTGCAAAACTGGAACTAACACTAGACCTAGATCTAGAAACATTCGGATTTAGCCGCACGTCTCTCAAGACGGCTAAACCCGAATGATTCTTGTTCTAGGTCTTGTGTTAGTTCTAGTGATGGTGTCAGTGCAAAACTAGAACTAACACTAGCATCAGCACTAGATTATTGTATATTTTATCGAGGTTTTACTGTAATGTCAAATTATATTGACATGTTGCATTGGTTAGTTGCCTGGTTTCTATGGAAATATATTTTCGTATATAGTATGTTTCGGGACTTATTCCTTTTGCAAGATCCAACTGTTTCCAAGGCCCAGCAAAATGCTTGTATAGCATTTTGTTTTATATTCAAATATCGCTATTTGTGCATTATATTATCGATAAAAACTAAAGCCCCTACTGCTGAAGCGGTCATAGATCCCCACACCATAACAGATCCACCCCTATGCTTTACTGTTGGTAGAAGATTTTTTAAATCTAGCGCTGTACCGGCTTTCCTCCAAATTTTACCTCTACCATCACATCCAAAAATATTGTATTTTGATTCGTCTGTAAACATCACCCTTTTCCATAAATCCATATCTTTTTCTTTGTGCATTTTTGCGAATTCAATAAGTATCTTTCTATTCACGTCGCTAATGTAGGATTTCTTTCGTGGTACTCGTTCGTTATAGCTGGTAGATCTCTTCTCACAGTATCTGCACTTACAGTGTTATTAACTTAATTTTGAAGGTTTTCTATTATTTTTGGGGCGCTTGTCCAAGGATTTGCAATAATTTCTTTTCTAATGCTCTAACGTTCATCTCGGGGAGTTAGCAGCACAGTGCATTCTCAATATTTCTGGTATCAACAAACTTTTTAGTTATGTACTTAATAGTAGAAGCAGTTTTGTCAAGTATTTAGCTATTTGACGTATAGAATGACCCTTATACAATTTTATGACAATTTTTCTAACTTGTACGCCTGTTTCTGTTCTTCGGGGTGGCATGGCGTTTGTTTATGTGATAAGCGAGACTGACTGTATAAGCTTTAATCTAGAGTAAACCATATAGATTTTATTTATTTATATAATTTTAGATTGTACCGGAAATTTCATTATGACATCTGGCAACCCTAGTTGTGTACAAGCCTTGAAAGAGAGAATTTTATTCGTTGTCCCTAATATATGTATTCTAAGCCGGATCGTGAGGTGTTTCCCGAGCCATCCGCCATTTTCGAGCGTTGTTTCGTCACGTACGGCGAGCCGGATTATGTATTTTCCGTACCTCGGTGGCTGGAACCGGACGAGATTTATGGCGATCGTGCAGCGCTCGGAGGAGCGCAAGAGCACATCTCCCGGTGTCGAAAAGCGCCTGTTTTACATATCTACGTGCACCTTCGATCTCGCGACGCGGCGTCTAACAGTCGCGTTCTTCGCCAAACTACGTACAACCGAGATAGGTTGACGAGAACCCCAAGAAATTAATCTAACGAAACTCATCCGTTAAGACGAAGGGAAGTTAAGACATATATATTTTAAGAGGAATCTTTTTCTGTATGCAGTTGGTAATAGATGCAAATATGAATGTTAGGCAACCACTAAGCGTTAACGACGATGGTCGTTTCTTCGCTGCAATTATGTCGATCGCCGCGCTATTCCGGGAAATTTATTGAGGAATTGATCGATTCGCGTTCGTCGGCAATTTGCTACTGCATCAAGAAAATATGGGTTGTCTTTTTTTTCGTTACAAATTCACCCGTATTACCACATAAATTACTTGGTTTTTTTCCGAGGCGCCTTGCTACAAAAAACCCTAGAAAAACGTTGGGAAAAAACTTTGTTCGACCCTCGCCCACTTGTACCATCTCGAAAACAAAGGGCTCCTCGACTCGCGGACGCCTCTGTGTCCGTCTCCGGCTTCGCGCACGTTATTTATTGCCCGGCTAAAAGTTCGCCATAGCAAACTTCCGAAAATCGTCTCAAACGGGTTACCGACGTATGAGGCAAGCGGCGGGGACAAGGGGGCCGCGTTAACATGCTCGGGCGGCGCGCCGAGCTTTTTGGACCTCGATACATTCGAGACCAGGTTAAATAAAAATAAGGCTAGGAACGATCAGGTCCGTAACAAATCCGTTTTAGAATTAACCCAACTTTCACAATTTATTCTAGTTATTCCGTTTGCTTGCAAAAGCTCCTCTCCATACCATATCGGCACCGAACGGACCTCATTCACATAAGCTGATTTCTAATGTTGCGAATTGTTTACGACTTCAACAACAACGTTTGTGAATTTGTTTGCTTTGAAATCAGAATGCGGTGAGAATTCACGATTTCACTATACGTACCCTATTGTGTATCACTTTTTTAGACTTCGTTTCAGCAAAATTTGAGTGCGTATGCATTTAAGTAGAGAAAAAAGGAAAAAAAAGTGAGTATCGTGAAAACAAAAGAATAGGGTAGACCGACGGCGACGCATTGTGTCGTCTCAAACGAAGGCTCAGCCGCATAAAAGAGAATGGCAATTTGCATGAATGTAAAGGAGCCGGGGAACGGAAAGAAGAAGAAGACGAAGAATCTAGGTATAAAAGAGGGCAATTATTTCGGGGGCAGAATCGAGGCAGTCGTACATCTCCCGGACTGTCGACGACATTTCGGCAGGCTGCGAGGGCACCGCTAAGTGAAAAGTTTGCCTCTCTTCTACCGCAGTCCATTGTATTCAACGAACGCGAGACGGGACAACTCTTATTCGCCGAAACGGGTCTCTTGTTCAACTGTCCACAGAAAGAATCGTTTGCGACATTATTCCTTTTACTTTTTTTTTTTAATCAAATTCACCAACTTACTTTCTTCCACCTCAAATACACTCAGAAATTAAATTTTTATGAATGAAAACTATATCAACGTGAACGGGTGACCATAAACATATCGCGATTGCGATGTTGTGGTTTCGGGATCGTTTTCGTTGTGGGCGTTAGATTCCAATAATAGATTTCGCTTTGTGCCGGTCCGGGTTCATTATCAATGCACACGGCCCGTGAAGACCGATTCGCATAAATAATATCCTCGGCGTTTTTGCGGGCTCACGGGCCATTACGCCCGTCCGGCCCTGCACTTATCAGATGCATTCGTAAATAATGGCACTTCGTCGCCCCGCCAGATTGGCTCGGTATAAATTGATCTGTTGTCGCCGGAGATTTATACGCTGTTTATGGCGGGCGGCATTTGATTAGGAGGTGCTATAAAAATTTTATGCTTGATTCCGTGTTCGTATTAGTTAGGTACTCGGGTTACTCGATTCGATTGTGTTGATTTGAAAATTTTAAAAAGTCACAAAAATACAGGTGTCTCAAAAAAATGTACTCACACTTTTTGTATTGCAGGTGGAATTAATTAATCATGGCATGGCAGGAAATCAACTTAGTTTGAAAGAGAGGAAGTTTGTCCTGAAATGTTATTGGACAAACCAACGCGACGGACCATTGCTCGTATCAGAGACAAATTGGAAGCAGAACGTCAACAAGAAATGTTCTGGACGATCACGAGCCTTGGAAAAGGGGAGCACTCCTTCGATCACCACAGAAATCTCTTCGACAAATTGCTCAAAAGATAGCGTCAAACGACCGGATTAAATGGTACCTGGCAAAATGTGCAGAAGATTGTGGTTTCTACACAAAATTGTGTGGAGCGATGAGGCAATTGCACTTACTGGAGTCCTGTAAATCCTCATGTAATACTTGAACATTATGTAAACTTACCAGGAGTAACAGTGTGGTGTGGAATATCCGCAGATGGATTTCTTTTTGTGGCGATATCTCAAAGATAAAGTTTATCGCACCAAACCAAGAATAATTCATGCATTGAAATTGGAAATTAAAAGACAATGTCATGATATTCATAATGATCTCTTTCGTAACCTGGACAATTATGGTCATCAATTTCTGTATTCGAAGCCATTTTACTCTATCTTCAAAATAATGTTTTTCACGTCATTCGAAGTGTGAGTACATTTTTTTTATACATCCTGTACAATTAACCATTTGAATCGTTTATTTGGCGACAATACACAGCGTAGCGTTTTAATGGAAATTCGTTGCTGTGAGAGAGTAGGGCGTTTTCTAAACAAGTCTTCGAAGAGGGTAAAATGCGGGGTTCCCCGGTAACTATTGTCTTGTCCATCGTTCGCGTCCGCCCGTGCGTTCCATTGTTCGCGGCGGTTTCATTTATTGCGCCGCTTCGAACAAATACGACTGCGCCCCGCAGTAATGGGACATCAATATTTTATTTTAATTGATAATACATTCGCGCCGAACTCTTCTAAATTCGGTTTCGATTTTCGAAAAAGAAGCGTTAATCGTCGATAACATATTCATAAATTATTATGCACGATCGCTCGTGGTTCCGTGATCCCGTGGTCCGGCTACTGAGTGAAATACAATGGGTACAAGTTAATTTATAACCAAGCGTCGTTAGGCAATAGTGGCAGCAGCGCCGGAACGCCTCCATTCGGCGTACAGGTGAACTGAAATATATGCATATTACGGGCCGCCCCAATAGAAAACCTATTGTCATTGTTTGAGTTATTCCGTTTAATTATCTGCGATCTCGCGTATTTTATTTAATTTACAACCGAATGGACTCTCTCTCGGTTGCACAATAATGGCGCCGGCCGCCTGAAAACCTGACTTCGGCGATCGTATCGCGTTGTTTATAGAAATATATAAATGCCACACAATGGGCGTATAAACTAACAAAGAGATTCCGGGTTACTCGCCTGATCCGTCGCATCGAGAGGGATTATCACGCATCGAAAACATTCAATATTTTATTACCATCGACAATCATTACCGCACTCACCGTCATCGTCCTCATCTTCAACGTGTCGTTTATAACTTAATATAGGCAAAGTTATAAAATTACTCGATTAACGTAAACTGTTTACGATGCGCACAATTTTATATCGTGAAAGGAATCTCATCGTTAAATAGAACCGTTTAAATCTTATTGTGACACAACTTAATATATTATTAAGTTAAAAAAACGGGTACTAAACTACTAAGCAATACTAACGTAGTGAAATTGTAACAAGTCTTGTAGGATTGTGATATGTATCTACTGTGATAAGTACCATGCCAATTCTAGCAATCAAAATCTTGCTTGGTGCCTTTGGTTTTAAAGTTAGTGCTGATACAAGATTAAATATTTTTGGCAGAACACAAAATACTGCTGGCAGAAGTCTAAATATGACCAACATAAGACTGCTTGCAGAAGTAGATAATGCTGATAGAAGACGAAATACGGGTGGCAGAAGTCCAATTATTGCTAACATAAGGCTAGATACTGCTAGTTCTAGGTCTACTATTAATTCTAGCTTTAATTGTAATTAGTACTAACCTAAAAATACTAATACCAGAACTAGTATCATTTGGGGTTAGCCGTCTTAGGAGACGTACTGCTAAACCTGAAACTTAACACCAGACCTGGAACTAGAACCATTTGGGTGTAGCCCTACGTCTATTAAGACGGCTAAACCCGAATGTTTCTAGTTTATGTTTAGTGTTAGTGGTAATACTAAAACTAGAACTAACACTAGACCTAGAACTAGAAAGTTTCGGGTTTAGCCGTGCGCCCTCAGACGCACGTTCTAGGTCTAGTGTTAGTTCTAGTTTTAATTGTAATTCAGCGCTAGATTGTTGAACTAAAACCAGTACTAACACTAAACCTGCTTGCAGAGGATTAATGTTGATGGAAGATCAAACATAGTTGGCAAAAAACAAAATACTGCTAACAGAAGTCTAAATATGGTCATCATAAGACTGCTTGTAGATGTGGATAATGCTAATAGAAGACACCATTATCTGTTGGCAAAAGACTAAACACTACTGACGCAGTACGCAGAAGGCTGCTTACTGTTAACAGAAGATTTTATAGTACTGGCAGAAAATCACATGCTGCTAAGGGTAAATTAAATACTGTTAATAGAAGTCCAGATACTGTTTGCAGAAGACTACTTGCTACTTGCATGTTTAACTCACAATAGCGGATCTTGACAAAACAATTTTTCAAAATTGCTTAAAAAGAAAGAAAAATTAATGGAATCTGAGGTTGCATTTTTTTTTTTTTTGTAAAAAATAAGTTAGATTTAATATTTGGGTACAAAAGAAATCGAAAATCAAGAGTAAGAAAATAAAAAATCTAAATAGTTCGGTAAGATTGTCGACAGGTAGCGTTGCTACCGGTGTTCCGCATTGTCGAATCAAACCAAGGACTTCTTCGGGCAGCGGGGAGGCGAAAAATATTTATATCGACCGGACACGAACGTTCTTCGCCGTAAGCTGGTGTGTGTGTGTGAGCCTGGCAGAGACGCCCGACGGAATACGAGCGCACTAATTGGCCGAGACGTATAGATGTTTTTATTATTGGAGAGTACCGCGAGCGCGAACTATATTTACATATTAATACGGCGGGTGCCCCCTTTTGCCGCCAATTTATGCGCACGTTCCAGAATCAACATTTAAACTTTAAATATCTTTGAATTGGAAATAACATCATTCTCGTTCCGTTCATATTTAATTAAGTAATAAAGCCATTAAAACTAAACACATTAGATAATTTCGCGTGCGTGATGTCCGTTTATTGCCTGACGGGCAATAAAATGATGTTGGTTTAAAAACGAAGGTCGATTCTTTGTTGTTGATTTAACACGCGATTCTTTGAATTCTTTCGAGACTTTCTTGGAGTTTCCTAATACCGAACTCTGGGCGCAGCGCAATCGCGCCATCTACTTTACCTATTTCGGTGACAGACGCCTTAACGGAACCGACAATCGTATCTCGCCTCACGTCCTCCTTCACGGAATACGTGTATCTCGGGTGTTCGAAGATGGGGGGTCGTTGTGTCGCATCTATGACACTGATGAAGACTTCCGCGTCCGACGAAGACTGCAGTCCACCACCGTCCGTTGCAGAGATATTCAAACGATGATAACGTTGCGTTCGAGTCGATAAAAGATTCGGACGATTTATTGAAATTTCCCCGGTGTTCTTATCAATTTTAAATAAACCAGCTCCATTTCCGGCTACTATCCCGTAAGTTAATTGGCCGAATTTTCCAGAATCAGCATCCGTTGCAGCGACGATAACAACGGGAGTTTTTGGAGAATTCGAAGATGTGTCACCTTCACGTAAAGAAACGTTGTATTCTCTTGGATAGAAATTAGGACGGTTATCGTTTACGTCTGTTATTTGGATCTTTATCATTGCTGTTGTACTAAGTCCACCTAAATTGAAACAAAAATTAATTTATTATTAATTTAATTAAATTAAATTAATTAATACATACCTCGATCTGTAGCTATGACAGGAAATTCATAAACATTTCTTGTTTCGTAATCTAAGCTTGACGTGATACAAACTTCTCCGGATCCCGATTTAACTTCGAATTCTTTTAACTTTCCAAAACCATCTCCTAAAGTGTAATTCACCATCGCGTTTACTCCGCAATCTGGATCTGTGGCTGAAACCTGAAAAATAAATGCAAAATTAGTAATAAATAATTAATGAGAATAAGATAAAAAAAATGTTGAAGAAAACTATAAGTTAAATAAGAAGTAATCACAGGAGAGATTACTTAATAAATTCCAGAATGTACGGCATTCCTTGTAAGGCAAAGATGTACGGCGTATTGTTTAGGGACCGCGAAGAGAAGGTTTTTTTCGCCTCGAATCGAAACCGTTTAGCGATAAAGCAGGCGAACGGCGGCGGCGGGAGCGGCTTGGTCTTATTTACGATCTAAGCTAAAAGGAATGAAAGAAGCAGGCGGAATGGATCGTAGAGAAAGGGTGGTCCGACAAATCGCCATTTGTTGTTAGCGCCATTTTTCATCCTCATCCGAGAACGAACGGAACGGAGGTAAGGAGATCTGGAGAGTTTGTGGAATTGCCACGGGAACGTGTGTTTAAGTTGATTGTATTTGGTGTAAACGATTAATCACCGCGTTTTTTACACCGCACGCACATTACATTGTGGTGTATAATTACACCGGTTGTTGTTTTCCATCGCGGCTTTTCGATCTTCTTCTAGTACTCACATTCCGTCCTTATTTAAAGTAATAATTACGCGGGATCCATCTTGCTCATTTGCTAACGATCCCCGGTACAATCGGATCTCTCTCTCGTTCTCGTCTCAATTTTCTCTTTCCCTTCATCCGCGGACAGTTCGTTTTTCCTTCTCCGTCTCTTTTAGTCATCGACGAGCCGGCGTTAATGACGAACATCCCACCTTAGGTCCACCGCGTCCCGTGCCCATCACTCATGTCCTGGCGAACACCTATGCGCTCGCCTCGTCCAGGGACTTTGATAGATTATTTGTGTGAAGAACACAAGATTAAAACGGGTGAGATTTGTTCCCCGAAGTCTCCGGACCGGTCGGTTTCGTTTACACCTTCGCTTAGATCGCGCGAGCGCGGTCCTCGGAGTGTCGTTGAGCGATCTTCTCCTCCACTACGAAGAAAAGAGAAACCGAAGACCGCGCGGAAATATTTCCATCCTATAAAAGGATTAGGGCTTCACTTTCGAAGGAGCGCCGGCAAAATTACCCGTGTAGCGGATATTTACGACTCTCGAAATTTCTAAATTACACGCCGCGGTAATTATGTGCACCGGTGGATGTTAATTTCACCCTATTATGGGCCATAAAAGCAACCCAAATCACTACCGAAAGACCTCCGTCTTTTACAATTCTTCTCCCGTATTGATGTTATCTATTTATGAAAGAATTCGAATTTTATCCTTTCATACGCTATGTTCTTACCATTATCATTCTTTCACGATTCTTTCTCCAATACACAGTAAAAGCTCGATATAACTTCGGGGAAGGAAGTGTTATAGCCGAAAGACCGTTATATCGATAATTTTTAATTTGCACTTTAAACTGTTTAAAACTAGAGTTAGCACTAGTACTAGAACTAATACTTGACCTAGAAATAGAAACATTTGGGTTTAGCCGTGTGTCTCTTAAGACAGCTAAACCCGAAACTTTCTAGTTCTAGGTCTAGTTTTAGTTCTAGTTTTGCACTATCACTAGAATTAACACAAGACCTAGAACTAGAATCATTCGGGTTTAGCCGTCTTGACAGACGTGCGGCTAAAACCGAATGTTTCTAGTTCTCGATCTAGTGTTAGTTCTAGTTTTGCACTACCACTATCACTAGAACTAACAATAGACCTAGAACTAGAATCATTCGTATTTAGCCGTCTTGACAGACGTGCGGCTAAACCCGAATATTTCTAGTTCTAGGTCTAGTGTTAGTTCTAATTTTGCACCACCACTATCACTAGAACTAACAGAAGACCTAGAACTAGAATCATTCGGGTTTAGCCGAACGTCTCTCAAGACGGCTAACCCCAAATGATTCTAGTTCTAGGTATAGTGTTAGTTCTGGCAACAGTGCTCGTGTAAAACAAGAACTAACACTGGACCTAGAACTAGAAACAGTTGAGTTGGGTTGGGTTGGACTCGAAACTTTCTAGTTCTAGGTCTAGTGTTAGTTCTAGTTTTAGTTCAATGAATAATATACAACAATCAACGCTGAATGACTAAAACTAGAACTGACACTAGCATTATATATATGATATATTCTATTTTCAGATAATTGCGGGATTCTACATTTATGGAATTTGGATTTATTGAAGATGAACTTTGATGATGTAATCCAATATTTTACTTCGATGTGGAGATTAAGATACTGTATTGTACTAAAACCGCGATGGCAGAAGTCTACAAAGACTTTTCACAACTTTCAACAACTCCTTAAGTAAGTATTAGTTGCCAACTTCTGAAGTTGATTTAAGTTTTTGTATCTACCTTTACATGGGTTGGATAAGGTTAGTTTTGTTTACAAATGTCCATCATCTCGGGAAAGAATGTTATGTAAGGTTAGTTTTCTATTCAAACTTCAATTATACCGTGAGGAAATAAGGTTAGCTCAATTATTCCGGGAAAGTAATGTGGAAAAGTAAGATAATAATGTAGAAGCAAACTGGAGTAGAGCCAGTGTAATTAAGTGGCTAAAGATATGTTGACTCTGGTATTCTCAGCAATATTTCATCTATCGTGGTTCAAATGCAGCTTCTATCGCATCTCATCCAGAATTCATTGACAAATAACTAATTCAAAAACAAATCCTCGTTCAAAAACGTCAAATCTAATAAGATTTTTGCAAAGATCAGAAAATTTTAACCCAATTTGATGTATCGCACCTTATACCCATCATTAAATTAATTTTTAAAAGCATAAATGTCGCCATTTTTTAGTGTTTTGTTTTCGGCCATCTTGCATTTATAAAAATAACAATATCTTAGGTGTAGTATAATACGTAGATATATCGAGTTTGGACTCATTTAATACGTTTTTTAATTATCTATAACAATATTTCCGAATCATTTCTTTTCAGCTATCTTGATTTTGTAAAAAATATAACATAACTCGTAGTATGTAAACGGAAATGATATTTTATATATCATATAAAGAAAATAAAACGCGATCATCGATAGATAATATATTGCAATACATCAAAATGGAATAAAAGCAACCGTAAGTCTCGGGTAGAACTCGTATGTATCTGTAGACACCTATACTTGGTGAGTATGGCTGCTGTTTTTTTTTTTGTTGGTTATCTGCGGGGCATTAAAATTAAGGAACCGAGAGCCAAGCCAACAGCCAGCCATCGGGTTCGCAACGAACAAGGACCGTGTATCAAGCAACGTCCTCGCGTATATCTATCACCGCGACCCGGTGAATTATTAAATGTGCGAAATGTAAACGCCGCGCATATATCGGACCGGGCGGCTACAAGCGTTTACCGACCGGATTTATGACCCCCGGAGCTTTCGTCGCGTACCATAAAAAAACCAACTCCCGCCCTTCTTCTAATACAAATGTACGGTCATCGCGGTCGCTTATAAATCTCGTACGCGCGCCACTCTTGCGGTAGTCGCAAAGATATTAACGGGGCACTAATGGCCGCGACCGGTAACCGGCTAATTTGTTCCATCACGGAGAAAGCGGAAAACCTCGTTTTCGAATTACAACCGCGATCCGTCCGGGAACCATAAATCATCGTCGTCGCTTTCTTACAGAAGTGTCCGACGGTCGGCGTTCGATAGGTCTTTATGCTTTTTTTCGGGACGAGGGGTGCGCGCGGGGGGAAACGACACAAATGAATATTCATAGCCAGGAGTGACTTACGCAAGCTAAGCGCTCGTATCTGTTTTTTAACGAGCTTTTAATTGCACGGTTTCGAAAAAAAATCTTTTCGAAGAATGCCTCGAGCCGATCGATCATTTCTTCCTGTGTTAGTATTCGTTTCTATTTGTTAAAATTCAAATCTGTAAGTTAAAACAAAATTGCGCGGAGAAAATCAGTTGATCGCGGCGCGTGTGGGGTTTTGCATAAAAGTGTTGCCCCGCTTTTGTCGCCTAAGGGCTGCTACCGTGCGGACACACCCCGCGCACTACCACCGTTCGTCGTTTTCACTGCTACCTGACGTCCCCGAAGACGACGACGAACGGACGAGGTTCGCCTCTCGACACGACCCGATCGGCTGGCACGATCGCAAACTTCTTGTAATCGGCCACTTATTAGCGTTATTACAATACTCGCCGCCGGCGGATGGCGGTTTGCCGCCGACGTGCGCTCCGCCACTTTTATCGCGCCTCTCGAGATCCGCGGGCGTCGGCGCTGAAACGCCACCAAAACAACGCCAATCGTTACTCCGCGCCGTCAGCGAGTAATCGATTATTATTATATTATGAAAATTTCACCTCTTTCATTATTATTTTTATTAAATTAAAACTTTTAAAGTGGGCATCATATAGAAATGTTGTTGAATTCTTTGTGTCCGTATAAAGCCGAACCCCGTATAGAATTTGGTTTGTAACGGAGGTATTACGGTGGGTTGAGCTGGACGAAGGAAGAAGACTGGGTCTTCAATCATTATTCGGTCTAACACTACCCTGAACACTAGACTAACACTAGACCCAAAACTAGAACGTTTATGCTTTAAAACATTTATGAAAGTTTATTAAACATTTATGTTTAATAAAATAAATAATAATAATTTATGTTTAATAAACCATATTATTTAGGTAGAGTAGAAGTACCGGCTGTACTTGTTAACTAATTGTAGTGAAATTAATATCGGGTATAGCAGCCAAAGCGCTGAATTAAAAGAAAACTATCCTTTTATAACGTTAAGCTTTCGGTCTTTATTTAGGGTTATTTATTTATTTAGACATTAAAAAGTCTTTTTAGCGTGTTGTGCATCTCGTTGGCTCTTGGAGTTTTTTGGTTTTCTCCTGCTCTTTGGTTTGGTTTTCGCCTGCCTCGTGCCTTTTGGTGGTTCCTTGACGCCCCCGTCACCTGTTTTTCCAGGCCGTTTGCTGGTTGTTCAGCGGTCTTCAACCGTTGACATGCTCTTAACCTCACTTTTTTTGGCGCTCTGTCCGTAAGTTTTATTGCGTCTATTTTGTTATTATTGTTCATTTTTTGATTTATTGTAGATGTAATGTTCTGATGAAGGCCTGAATAAAGACCGAAAGCTTAACGTTATAAAAGGATAGTTTTCTTTTAATTCAGCGCTTTGGCTGCTATACCCGATATTAATTTCACTACATATTATTTAGGTTTAGCCGAACGTCTCTCAAGACTGCTAAACCCAAATGATTCTAGTTCTAGGTATAATGTTAGTTCTAGCAACAGGGCTTGTGTAAAACTAGAACACTAGAACTAGAATCATTTGGGTTTAGCCGCACATCTCTCAAGACGGCTAAACCCGAATGATTCTAGTTCTAGGTGTTGTGTTAGCTCTAGTGATAGTGTAAAACTAGAACTAACACTAACTAGAATTCATAGCTTTTACCTTACATCACTTTCTTCGTTTACGCCTCACTTTTTAGCTTCAATAAATTTCAATACATTTGAGGTTAAATCACGGTTAAATAAATTTTGACATTTCAAACTTGAAGTTAGTTCGACAAATGTCAAGTCTACCAACATCAAATAAAAAATTTTCTTTGGTGAAAATTATTTATTAAGTGATTTTATCGCAATTTATATCAATAAACAATTTTAATTCGTTTTATTAAAGTTAATTAAAGATTTAATTAATAAATTAAATTTTAAATATGTTTTGTTTTCACGTTTTAATTTAAGATAGATTTTTGACATTTGAGGTTATGTTATTGTTGGGGTGATTTATGTTTGTGTCTATGGAATTAATTTATTTAAATTAAATGGGTTTTGTTAGTTATTATTAAGTTATAAACACAAAAAATACGTTTTGAAGCGTTAATGAAGGTAAGTACTTTCTTCTTAGTGATTTTAATATAAGTAGATTTTTATTGATATCTGATATTATTTATCCTTACAGAATATGCGTTTATACATTACTTTATCCAAATTAATTTAAATCCTTTGCTTTCTAAGCTCAGATATTTGTTGAACAACTAAAACTAAAGCTAACATTATCTCTATAAGTTTTAGTTTTAGAACTAACATTAGACCTAAAACTAGAAACATGCGGGTTTAGCCGCACGTCTCTCAAGAGCACGAAACCAGATTGTTACTAGTTCCAGGTCCAGTGTTAGTTCTAGTTTTACTTCAACGAATAATATACAACAATCAACGCTGAATAACTAACTAATAAATAACTAGAAGTGACACTAGCATTGTATATATGATATATTCTATTTTCAGGTAATTGTGAGATTCTACTTTTATGGAATTTGGATTTATTGAAGATGACTCTTGATGCTGGAATCCAGTATTTTACTACGCTGCAATGTCGAGATTAAGATTCTGTATTGTACTAAAATCGCGATGTCCGAAGTCTACAAAGACTTGGTACAACTTTCAACAGCTCTTTAAGTAAGTATTAGTTGCCGATGTTGTTATTATTTTTATTAAATTAAAACTTTCAAAGTGGGCATCATATAGAAATGTTGTTGAATTCCTCGTGCCCGTATAAAGCCGAACCCCGTATAGAATTTGGTTTGTAACGGAGGTATTACGGTGGGTTGAGCTGGACGGAGGAAGAAGACTGGGTCTTCAATCATTATTCGGTCCGGAGCCGCGGAGGGCGTTACCCAAAACGACGAAAAGGGAAAACGTCGGCGAGGTTTTCGAACGTAGAGAGCAACACCTACCATTGTTCGCCGTCGCGCGACAATATTACAAACATTATGGTAAACGATGGTAATGGCCGGCCATCTGCATACGCGCCCGTTTTACATGTACCAAAATCGTATTCAAATCCCCCATAGAGATCCCGAGATACCGGATTTGCAAACAGAGCGGATACGCGCGCGAGCTGCGCCATCTACGTCGCGCCCCGTCGACAGCCGTTTCACACGCTTCCTACAAAGATGTAATAATTCCCGGTCTGGTCGATCGTACATCGAACGAATTGATTATACGGGAATTCTCGCTCGGTCTCGTGACCGGACCAACTACTTTTACCGTCAATTGTATTTAAAATCGCCCCCATTTACAGCAAAAAAAAAAAAACTTTTCACGACCTCAAAATCTCTTTGTACTCACCTAAATTAATTAATTTAAAACGGCTTAACGATTCTCTAATCTGTGAAATATTCCTTGTAATTACAAGAGGGATTTTCTCAAACACCTCTCTCGAGTTTCAGTACTTTAAGTCTTTAAGATTTCGACCCGGTAAGTAACGCGTAATAAATACGATGGCATCGTCGTCGGCTTAAGATAATCTTCCATGTGGAGCACGTTATGAATCGGCCGACTCGTTTTGTAAGCAGGAAACGAAATGCATTAATATGGCAAAAACACATGAAAGAATCTTGTTCTAATCCACTATAAATTACCACTTCCAGTAAATGAGTTGTTTGTCGATATGAAAACTTCCCACCTCAATTTCAAGATTTATAACAAAAATATTTAATGAATATCTCAAAAATAAAAAAGATAAACTTATTCAGAGTGGGTCATGACATAATCACCACAGAGTTTTTGTCTAACATGATGCCATAACAATTCAGTTTATGTTATATTGATTCTGCTTGAGTAATGTAACATCCTCTAAGAGATACAGTTAGATTGCTGTTTATTCGTCGCAACGCAAAATTAATGCGGAGATATTGTTAAGCTGATTTCACGTTTCCAACTTGTCCAAAATTTTGGCATTTACCTCCAAATCAAGAGAACCCTACTCACTAAACCACAAACCTGTAGAAGTACTTTTAACTCATTCGAATACAACCTAGAAAGCTTTTCAGGATAGCAAAAATATATCTGGATATTATTTAGACCATGAGAATCTATGAGACTTGGATTATTTTTCTTACAGGTTAGGTTAGGTTGGTTAAATCTTTTCTAGAAATGTAATGATGAAGCGTCTAATCGACAATTCAAAACAAATTCTTATTCAAAAAAAGCAAAGTTAATAAGATTGTCGTGATTATCAGAAAATTTTAATCTAATTTGATGTATTACACTTCATATCTATCATCGAATTCTTTTTTAAAAGCATCAAGTCACCATTTTTTAGTGTTTTGTTTTCGGCCATCTTGCTTTTATAAAAATAAAGCTATTTTCGTCGTTATAATTCCTAGCTATATCGAGTTTGGACTCATTTTACACGTTTTTTAATTATCTATCGTAATATTTACGAATCATTTGTTTTCGACCATCTTGATTTTATAAAAAAAATTCTAAAATAGGTCATGTTTGGACTAATTTCAAACGATTTTTTATGAAGATTAAAGGATTACAACCTGTCATGGAATACAAAAAAAATATTATTTATATCCGTGTTTTGAGGTGATTGAGTTTACAAATGAACATCCTGTATATGATTTTTTTTAGAAATCTGATTTTATTATGTTGTAGTTCGGGATGTAACGTTAAATTTTAGGTGGTACAGTGTAGTAATTGCCTTTCCAGGACGCAATTACGCGTCCGCACGAAATATCGACGACCGAAAGTTATTAAGGGCGAACAAAAGGAGCGGCCTGCCAATTAGAGCGGCCGGTATTGCCGGTCGTGCTGTTATCTTCCTGGAAGGGAACGCGGATTAAGTCATTTGCGGCGAATTCGCGCGGCTAGTTTACGCAATTACCGCCGATGCGCTGCCGCCGCGCCGAAGACAAACATGTCCATGCAGGTTTTTATGACACATAACAATTACCCCGTGGTAAGGCGCTCGATCGAACCAAAGAACAAGAACTTTCAGTCTCCAACTTCTTTGCCTTCCAAAGAAGATTCTCACACCACCGATGTTTACACTTTGTACTTTTAAACACAAAAAGATGTTGATTAATTGATTGAAATTGTTAGAAACGCCTCCACCAAGATTTTTATTTTTGTTGTTTTTGTCAAGAAAGAAAATCTAGGTGTCGCTATTCTTGTAGCTATTCCGTGGGCGTTTCAGAGGTGACATTTCGCAATCGAAACAATAACCTGTAACGGCCAGGCACCGCCCTCCCTCTTAACAAATGTGACCGTAAATTTTTCCGCGGCCACAAAATTGAATAAGGTACGCGAGCGCCCTTTGATTTATCAATCAGAACGGGAGAAATTTTTCAGTTCGTGTCGAGTGGAAGCGAGAGAGATTTCGGAAAAGGTCTCCTTCTCCGTCACGCCTCGAAAAGAACCGGTTAATATTATTTCACACTCCGGTCGCATCGATTATACGGCATGCCGTTAAAAGAGTTGTCATAATAAACTTCATGTATATTTATTAATTAACGTATCGCGGGCTCCGACGAACGAAAAAGAGGGAGAAGAATGGCCGAGAGCGAGTTGAAGGGGGAACAGAGAGAAGCAAAGAAAAGTTTCGGAACCGGCTCCTTTAGATAGCCTAATTGAATTAGTAGATACGGTTAGAGTTAGATTAATTCAAAAATGCCGCCCTGTCAATTAGAATTGTGTCCATGAAATCTTTAGAGGGCGCTGACCGGCCGCAAGATGGCATCAGGATAGCGACCGTGTGGGCCACGGGACACATCACTTTCTGCTAATATATCTCCAACCCTACTTCGGTTGTCCATTACTAAAACTAACGGCCTCCGTCTGCACCGGTTCACTTCGGACAGCGCTGTCTCGGTTTTTATTGTTCCTTCGGACCGAGTTCTCCTTGAGGCCCTTCTAAATTAAATGGACGACGCCAAGCAACTGTTAAGAATCTACTTCTCCCTTCGCAATTCGTTTTACTCCCGTACGGAATAGCGCTTCACGACGATTTAATACTCCTTCACAGTCGTGGTATGTACTCACAGTACAGGAAAGGTGCTTACAAAAACACTGTTCTTTATATATCAATTCAAAGAAAAAACGAAACAAGACACAAGTTTCTTATTTTTAACTTGTTTTTATTAACATGCCAACGTAGAAATACTAAAAAATAAATAAAACCAAATAAATATGTTGGATTCTATAGAAAAGAACAAACAACCCCACTCAAATTTCATTCCACCGAAAACGATTCTTGCGGTGGGTACGCAAAGAAAGAGAAGGAAGTGGTTTGGCACAAATTAGCGATGAGACGTGTACCGTACAAAGAGGCCCAATTATGTTGATAAAGAGGGTTCCTATTATGCCTGCCCAGGCTATTGTCGACGTTCGAGGCCCTCCGGTGAACCGCCTCGACCATTTCGGACCATGTAAATTGGTAGGGTAACGCGTGATCCGCCCTCTACAATGCCAATTACCAATCCAAGCACCATAAATACTTATTGTTTAATTCACAATCATTTTTTATCTTTATTAAATGTATTAAATAGGCAATTATAACGATTCTTAGAATTATTAATGTTTGTAAAATTTTTTCTGCTTTCTCCACTCATTGTCAGATGAAGAATGATGCCTCTATTTTGTGCACAAATTGTCGTTCCATCTTTTCCTTGGTCGTTCTAGACTTCGTTTGCGTCTTGTCCCATTCTTTCTATGTTCTTATGACTTCGCTTCTTTCTCTATCGTATTGCGAAGTATCTTCATTTCTGCTGTTTCCAATATCCGTTTTGTTTTAGATGTGTCAGATCTAGTTTCAGCCGTATAGGTCATCTTATTGTGCTTTTGTATATTCTCGATTTTGTATTAATATGTAGATGTTTGTTCTTCCATAAAGTATCGTTTATGCAGCCTGCGATTTTACTGGTTTTCCTGAATGTTGGGATACTTCCTCTTCAATATTACCTTAACTTGATAGTTCAACTCATAAGTAACTGAATGTCATGTCCTGCTCTATTATGTTCTGGTTAATTTGTAGCTTACATCGAAGTTGCTCTTTTGCTGTTGTCATGCATTTAGTTTTTTGATGCAACGGAAATGTTGAATTGTTTCGCTATGTTGTTAAATGTTTGTAGATTTCTCGCGTCTGAAGATGCATGGGTAAACTCAAAATCAAAACTTTCTGGACTAGATTTAATATTACTTTAACATTCGGGTATAGCAGTCTTAGGCCCACTACTACTACTTATAGATAAAGTCGCTGATAGCGTTATCTATCGGATAGCTTAAAAATTGGTTACTACCACTGTATTTATCTTATAGATACCGCTATCCAAGGGATAACTTTTGAAATATCTGTAACCCGTGGATTGGGTGTCGGATAAGTTGCTATCTAAGGGATAACTGCGGATACCTAACCTCAAATAGAATTTATACTGATGTATAAAATTCGAGCGTTTTACTATTTCTGTTAAAATAAAAAAAGTAGTATAAACGTAAATAAAAAACTATTAATAATTAACATTAGATAAAATCATCATGGATAATTTCTTCGATATTGGAGATGAAGAACAAATTTTTGCAGAAATCAATGAATTATTTCCTATAAGAAGCGAAAAGGTAATAAGGAGTAGAGTTGACCATTTAAATATTCATTCTGATGTTGAATTTAT